TAGTGGCTTTCTTATGGAAGGTGGAAAAAATGCTTTGCCACACTGGGATAATGATACTTAGTAGTTTTCACTCATGTGTAAAATTTCCACCATGCTTGTGTACGCTTGTTCCTTTAAAGCGAGGCTGGCAGAACCTTGAGGAGCATGCTGGTGCTGTACCCCTCGCTCCCACCGGCTCCTGTGCGGGCTTCCTCCTGCGAGGTGCCTCTTTCGGTTACCGGTTAGCGAAGGCGGACACTGCTGGAAGTAAAATTACCTCCCTCCCCTTGTCCAGCCTCCCTGCCCCTCCCCCACCTCTGCAGGGTGTCTGAAAGGCACAGGCCAACAGCTGTTTCTAGAAACATCTTTTCTCAGAGTTCACAGCCCAGAGCCTCCATCAGACTGGATGTTCAGCTGTCCTTTGTTCTGAAGACCCCAGAGGTGGTCTCTTCTCCCCCCCGGGGGCTGGAGGTGGCCCTCTCCCCCTGCCCTGTACCTTCCCCAGGAGTATGGCACCTGGGTCAGCTCAGGTGGGAAGCCATCAGGAGAAGCGGCCCCTCCCTACAAGGCCCACTTGGAGTCCACGTCTCTGTCTCCTGCAGTTTTTCAGCCGTCAGGTCTGTTTTATGCAATGTGCCCATCTCCCCAGACAGTGACAGGGCCCGTGGGTACCCCTGCCTGGTGTCTAGGGGGCTAGATGAGGCTGTGTCGAGCAGGTTCCAGGATTTCTAAGCTTGTGGGGATGCAGGCCCAGCTGGGCGTGGTGGGGCGCTGTCTGCAGGGCCTTCATGGAAATGACCGTGCTGGAAAGATTTTAACGGGAGGCAGAAGAGATGGGATTTTTGTTTCACCATCTGAGCTAACCCCTATCACATTGTGTTCTGTGTGACTTTTGGAGATGAGCATAAATAAATTCATGCGCATTCTGTTGATCTCATAAACCCGAAGGGACGTCTGCTCTGTGCCTTGCACATCATAAATGGTTAACAAGCCAACTTAACTAGGAAATGCTGCTCTTTGCTGTTCAAAATGGCACCTTGGTTTTGTGCTGTAGATACCTGCAGAAGACAGGGAACTCGTTCCAGTGCTGGGAGAGTTGTTGCAGAGCAGAAACGGAGTCCCCTATGGGCACCGCCCTGGGAGTGTCTGTCCCTGTGCTGGGCTCACGTTCACAGCAAATGGCTAGGGTATCAGGGTTTCCTTCTCTGTTTCAAAATGACTTGATAAATCTCTTCAGGAAGCCAGTGGCTACGGAATGAGGAACAAAGTCTGGAGGCCTTGACCGTTCAGGATCATGGGCAGCCCCCTCCCTGGCAACAAATGTGGTTCCCCTCCTGGTGTGAGCACTGACTGTGCTCACAGGACAAACAGACTCACCCTCCATGGACCTGATGTGCTGAGTGGTGGCTATTTGTCTGGGCCCCTCCTTTCCAGCTGGGCTTGGCCTGGGGTGGGGGTGGGGGTGGCAGCGAGGAGGTGAGGGGGATGGGGGATCACAGCCTGGTATTGAGAAGATGGAGGCCATCCCGCTCGGGCTACAGGGGGGAGAGGGGGGGGAGGGGGGGTGCAGCACCTGCAAGGCAGTCCTCCCCAGTTCCCATGCCTCCCCTCTGCTGTGGCCTGTCCCAGGGTGGTAACTGCTCCCTGGTGCTAGCTCTGGGGTGTGGCACCCCTCTTACTAGTATTCCTACACCCCGTCCACTAAATTCTCTCCAAACTCCCCAGTTAACATGACATCTACTTCCTGCCAGGACTTAACTGATATACATGACACTTCTTTTGGACATTTTGCATTTGAAATGATTGAAAAGGCAGTGGGGAGGGGAGGGGTGCTCCCTGCTATCTTCCTTTCTCTGCATCCCCAGTCCCTGACCAGCCTGAGCTATAATCGGGCCACCTCTCCTGGCTCCAAACACAGCAAGTCCATCCAACGGTTAATTGCTGAGCACCTCCAACTCCAGGTGCTGCAGCACCATCTGGGGAACAACAGGCGACAGGTGCACAGTCAGGTGGGCATGCACTTGACCATCCCTACGGAGCCCCGTGCTCCCACCAGCCCATGGTCAATGCATTAGTCACCTGAAGGCCCCAACTCCCGCCTCTCCCTTTGACTTGCAGGTTTGTTAGGCCAAACCCAGGGGTAGCTGCCCTTTCTGCAGACCCAGAGCCTTGCTGGGCCCCTCCCTGCCTCTGGCCATCCTACCTTGAAGGAGTGTCTTTCTAGGCTCCGCTTAGGAATAAGAACACCTTGACTGGCTGCATCACGGTCCAGACTATACTCACCCACCCACCCCCAGTCTGGGCCTCCAGGTCCTCGCACCTCATTGTATCTGTAGGGATTAGATTTTATTTATCTAGGGAGTTTGGTTAACGTTAGTGTGTTCTATCGATATTCTGCATGCTCAGTAAACAGCATATTTCATCAATTCTAGAACCTTTATTTCTTCATGTAGCTAAAATAAAATAAATCCACAATTAACGGTATATGGTAGTTTGCAAGTTGGCATTTTAGCAGTATGTAAAATAAAGTCTTAGCACCGGCACAATGGATTCCCACATCCAACACCTATTCCCGGCTGAGAACCCTCGTCCAGCCTCACGCTCCATTCGTTTCCCTTTGACTTCCTCTGATATTTTCAAATCCTTTCCCCACATGCCTAAGGGCCTGTCATCACTAGCTGCCCATTCCTTGGCAGGATAATGCTTTTATCACGACTGCATTAACGGAATCAAGCTCATTGATCTTGCGTTGAGGCAAATTATTTTTGTTATTCTGCTCATTTTTGGTGCTGAACCTATTCAAGTTACTTTCTAGAAGGCCTGGCTGCCCCTACTCAAATATTTCTGATTTGAAAATGCCTGAAGGAGATTGCTTAGTAGGGGGCTTTGTGAAAACAGGAGAATTTATTTAAAAGAACTTAAAAAAAAAAACCCTCTTGTTAAACTTTCTACAAATGTACTGAGTAACTTAAGCTGCACACTCAAGCACACACACACCCCTCCTGTACAGATTTAGACACGTGCTGTGTGTGTGCACATACAAACACACCTGGAGAGGAAAAGAGAGGCCAAAGGGAAACCCCAGCGTTAAGCTGAGAGGTTGAGGTGGGTGCATTGAAGGCAAACGTACACTCATTGCAACGTGGGGTTAACCACCAGGAACGAGGAAGACTCGGGACAGATTGGTCTGTTTCCTGAGGTCTGGGTCTGGGCCATCCAGTCCAGTCTTCTCTCCCAATGCCTCTCACCTGTAGCCCCGAAGACCCTCACACCAGAGCACCACCCTATCCTCCCTGTCAGGCCCACTCATGCTAGAGCAGGAGGTACCCGGCTTAAAGGTGAATGAGTCACGACGATCCGGCCACACACAGCCCTAGACCCCCCTGGTTCACCAGGGTGGACTTTCCAACCCCCACCCTTTCTGCCTATTGGCCTCCTTTTCCACCAGCAATGGGACCCTGTCCTTTAGTAAGAAGGCAGCAGGCAGTCCCCAGGAGAGCAGTTGGACCCCTGACCTCCAACTCCAAAGACGACACCTTCTCAACTCATTTTAAAATCGCATGACTGTCTTGGACCTGATGGCGGTTATGATAATAAGGGTGAATCACAGGCACTCGGTGTTAGGACCAGGGGAGTCCCACCCAGAGGGGGGTACCTCCTTGGAACTCATCCCTGTGTCCAGGTCCCTCTCTGGAGCCCAGTTCCATCTTCCTCCCCAACCCAAGGCTGCAGCCCTGCTCTGGATCAGGGACTCCCCGCCTCACTCTGTCTACCTTTGCCCTTTGTGCCAGAGGGAGGGGGAAGTCCAAGAAGCCTCTGGATTTCTGGCTGGGCCAATGGGGAGAGGACAGTGCACTCTTCAAGACAGGGAATGCCAGGCAGGGGACTGGACAGGGAGGCTCAATAGGACACTGGGACCTGATGGGTTAGGAGCTGTAGGGTAAAGCATTGATGAGAATGTAAGTCTCCTGCTGGACACTGGGTGTTGTCCAATCCACCTGCTGTTTGATAACCCCTCAGGGGGAACCAACAGGGGTGGGGCCTGGGCTTGGCAGGAGGAGACCTGGGGTGGGGTCTCAGCTAAGCAGAGCCTCAGCAAAAGGAGCTGACCACCCCTGGACCTCTGGGAATTTCCCACAGAAGTCACAGAACTGGCCCCAGGGCATTTGAACAGCCCCAGGGCATTGTCCCCTGGCTCCTCTGTCATCAGCAACAGAGATACAAATCTGGGAAGATTTTTGTGCGAACTCATCTGCTGGGCTTTGATAAAGCAGAAGTATAGCAAATGGAAAAAAAAGGGGAGAGGGGGGAGATAAAAGCCAAATAATTGCTAGGATATATTTTTCCTGTATTTAAAAATAAGTGATTTTTTTCAGAGGGGTGGAGGGATAACTTCTCCACCACACACACACACACACACACACACACACACACACACACACACACAAACATACACACATACACAGTCTAGAAAAATATTCTAAACTATTGAAAAGTTCTCTCAAGGTTGTGGGATTACAAGTGATTTTTTTTTTTTAATCTGTATTTTCACACAAACAATAGGATGCTGAAAGCCTAGGGTGGAGGAGGAGGGGGTAGGCTGGAGGGGATCAATGGAGGGGAGGAAAGTATTGTTGAAATACTTTCAACAATAAAAATTATTTTTTTTTAATTCTGTATTTTCTAATTTTGCCATAAATGAAAATATATTACTTGTATAATAAAATACTTTTAAAAATAAAAGTCTTTGGGGTTTTTTGTTTTGTTTTGTTTTGTTTTGTTTTTTAGCTAAAAGGAAAAAAAACTTTCCAACTGTCCTATTTGTGCCTTTTCACAGACTGGCTCTTGGGGGCTGCTGGTCACATGATGTGAGGGTGTGGATGTGGCAGGCAGGCTTGCCCAAGGCTTTTTCTGGATCGTGGTCGCTCTCTCAGCCCCCTGGCCTCTGCTGCAGGTGGCCTTTGTGGTTGGGTGATGTCCCAGCCAGTCAACCATGCTTCTGTTTGGGGTTCTGTCCTCAGGCATCTGAAGGGGTCCCCATGAGGTTCTTCACCAAGCTGGACCAGCTCATCGAGTTCTACAAGAAGGAAAACATGGGTCTGGTCACCCACCTGCAGTATCCTGTGCCACTGGAGGAAGAGGACACCGGCGATGAGCCGGAGGAGGAGACGGGTAGGAAGGGACACCGGGCAGAGGTGGGGTGTTTCTCTCACTACAAGTGTTCATAGATCAGGTGGGTCTGGTTATCAGGAGGAGAGAGTGTGACACAGTGGTTAAGGACACAGAAGGACACAGGCTCTGGAGTCAGACAGCCCTGGGTTGGACTTCCTGCTCCTCAGCCTCTTAGCTGTGTGACTTGGGATGAGTTACTGAACCTCTTTGAACCACAGACTTCTCTTAAAGAGACGGTAAAAATGATATCTGCCTCTCAGGGTATCAGCAAATGAGTCAATAAACATAGAGCCCGGAGCCTAGTACATAGTAAGTGCTCAATAAATGCAGCTGCCATTATCATCAAAATAATTAGCTGCATTTCACTGGGGGGAAAAGTGAAAGAGGAGGAAATCCTTGCTGCTAACTGGAAGGGTAAGAAAGGTGTTTCTTTTTATCATCATTAAAATAAAACAAAACTTACCCTTAAAAGCATGTGTGAATTTGACCAGCCTTGTAAGCTGCAGAGGGACAGACAGGACAGGACAAGATCTGGCAGAGAAGGCCATGCAGGTGGCAGCACGCCTGGGTGGCACCCTTCTATTCCCCCTAAAAGTTCACTTTTTAAAAGAAGACCTTGAGATACTGAATTGATTGAACCCTTCAACTTAGGAGGTCAGGGTTCTTCCTAAATTCCAGGGCCTGGAAACAACCAGGTCCCCCAGCGTCGCCCCCAAAGGAGGGCAGATTAAAGTGGAGATGCTGAGGTCGCTGGCTGTCTCCCCTCATGTCCTTGGCAGACAGCTGCCCGCCATGTACTAGGCACCCTTCTCATCACATTGCCATGGCTGGCTTGTGGGTCTCCACCCACCTTTCCGGCTTCCAGGCGACCCACTTTGAGTGGCTACACAGCTCACCCACTGCCTCCGAGGGTGAACTCTCATCAGCTCCGTGGAGAAGGTGGGGCCAGACAAAGGGTTTCCAAAGGCAGCCATGGAGGCTGAGGGGGACCTGGGAAGGCCATGTCTCTTCTCCCTCTCTCAGCACAATAAGAGGTTCCCTCCATTGTGAAGTAGTCAGAGTCGACCTATCTATGTGTGAGTGCAGGGTCACTCACCAGGGTTGTGCCACAGCCCAATGTTCCCCAGACGCCCCCAGATGTGCTTGCCTTGACCTTGACACAGAGACCATCCTGTAGAAATGCCCTCCACACGAGTGTCCTCACTTGCCTTACAGCCCCAGCCTAGCTTTTCTGCCCCTCTGGGGATGGCCATCTGAGAAAGTCCCGAGACCTTCTGTAAGAGCCACAAAGAGAACCAGCATCTGCCAACTGCAGGCTTTACTTCCCCAAACGAAGCCCCGGTCTCAAGGCGCTGCAGTCCCCGTGGGGCTCATAACAGTTCAACCATCTAAAGAGCCAGAGAGCCCAGCGGGAGAGGAAGTGAGAGCTGATTCTTTCAAGAGGTAGCTCTGTGGCCAAGGCCGTGGGGCGACCATTTGGCGTGCAACGAGGTTCAGGCAGGAGGTCCTGGGTGCAGGGGCTCAGGACCCTCACCCATTTGATGAGAGGAGGGGGGAAGTCCTCCTAAAGATGAATAGGCAGGAGTTTTACTTCCCAGGAGAGTTCAAGTCATTTATGTTATATTTCAATTCTCTTGGTGAAGGAAGACCCTTCAGTTGCTTTATTTTATTTTATTATTTATTTTATTTTATTTTATTTTATTTTATTTTATTTTATTTTATTTTATTTTATTTTATTTTATTTTATTTTATTTTATTTTATTTTATTTATCTCCAAAGGCCTGGGTTCAGAGGCTGGAGAGAAGGCAGAGAAAGGGGGCTAGGTAGGAGAGGGATGAGCTGGTGTCGGTCTGCCTGTTCCCCACCCTGCTCCTCCTGTTCTGGGAAGGTGGCCTCTCTCTGCCTGGTCCAGGACCCCTGCTTCAGCCCTGAAAGCTGGCCATTCTGCTGAACTGTCTAGAGCTGCTGGCTCCACCTGCCCAAGGCCAGCTGCTCTGCCTGGCACAGCCATTGGACTCCAAATGTCAAGTGTTTGCTGGCTGCCTCAATGGGACAGACCGTGCGTGCTAGGCCCCTGAGCCAAAGACCACTAAGACTAGGCCCCTGGCCTCAGTGGGCTCCCCCTCCAGTCGGGGAGGCAGTGAGGGGGTGGGAACGGCAGGGACAGTGTGGGCCCAGATAGGTTCTGCACAGAGGACATAGTGCGTCAGCTACGTGGCCTTCTCTGTAGGCTAGTGATCCAGAGAGAAGCTAAAGCTTAGTCCGAATGACATTTCTGCTCTTCTTTTGGGTAGAAGGTGTTCCATCTCCGCCTGAACTGCCACCGCGAAACATCCCTTTATCTGTCGGGCCATGTGAGGCCAAGGAGGTGTCCGCCATGAGTGAAAATCCGAGAGCCACGGAGGTCAGTCGGCCAAGCCTCTCGGAGACCTTGTTTCAACGACTACAGAGCATGGACACCAGTGGGTGAGTCTCCACCTGGTGGTCCCCTCAGAGGCCAGCCTCAGAGCCACAGCCCCCAGGCAGCCCCCTCAGAATTCACTCTTAGAGGTACCCCTTCCACCCCAGAACAGGTAGTTGTGGAGCCCACTGGCCCCTCAGAGAGGATGGTGTGTCTGAGGAAGCCCAGCTCGCCTGGCTCCACTGCATGGCGCTGGGTGGCCCTACTCAGAGGCTCTGTCTCACAGCCCAGCAGCATGGCATGGCGTACATCTGCTGCCATCAGTGTGGTCCAGACTTAAGGGACCTGGGCTGAGACTCCCTTACTAGGACTTGCCATAAACTACACCCAGCATCTTTTCCAACACCACCAGCTACTGAGTGAGATGGTCCAAGCAGAGGAGTTGCCTACCCTGCAGCCCCCATCAGCCACTTCCTGCTCAGGCCCCACTTAAAGGGGGCCGCCTTCCCTGTCACCAGTAAATGCTGGTTTCCTTGAGTTCAAGTTTCTCTCCAGGTTTAGATGTCAGAGCAATAGTTCCAGATGTAGTACGAACTGTTTCATATGTGGCTTCTTTCTTTGTGATGGGGAGTGTGAGATGCTTTCATTCCAATACTCTAAGTCTTACTTGTTCCAATCCAGGGTCCTCAGCATACTGGCTGGTCTACACTGACGAGGTCCAGGCTTCTTGGCCCTGTGGTCCCTCTCTTAGCAGGCCCAGCACTTGCAAACCAGAGGCCCTGACTCAAGGCCCTGGGAAAGGCTTCAGTAGGAAGGAAGCTCCGTGAGGATCCTGTCCGCAGAGCCCAGCATGTTGCCTCGTGTATGAATTAGTTAGTATTGGTAACTTCCATGCATTAATAATTTAGAAATATTTTTGTTTCTTTGTGAGAAAAGGGGCCCCCAAAGAATATCCCAAAGATGTGGCAGGCTGCTGCAACATCTCCAATTTGAAAGATCAACTTGAGGTGGCTGAGGCTGCCTCACCTACCACCCAATCTGACAAAATACAAAGGAAATGCCTGCAAGTACTTATAAGCATCCAGTTGCTAAGATACCTGGTGTTTCCTGTTTCCATCCAGACACATCCCCTGATTCTTCTCCAGGCCCACAGCTGTGTGCTCTGCACACTCTGAGTTACCTGTACTTTTTATCAATCGGCTACACATCCAATGCTTTGAATATGTTCATACATTATCATGATTATCCTGATATATGCATCTAAATAACAAATGGTTATGAAAATATTTCATGCAGAGCCCATTGTTTGTTTCCTGGAGTTTGCATTTCTCTCCAGGCTTAGATGCCAAATGCAGTGACTTCCTTGAGGAAATAGGCAGGGAGCCCAGTGGTGCCACCATCTCCCCAGTCTTCCCGCCTCTCCCACATCTACTAGTTCCATGTTCTCTCCAGTGCCTCCTCACTAGGGACAGGTGTTCTCTAGGGCCCAGTGGAGAAGGACAGTGTATGCAGCTGAGCCTCTGTGCAGCCTCCTGAGGAGCGTGAGCAGCCGAGGACTTGTGAGCAGGGGAGGCGTGCTTTCTCTGGTTTTGCTTCTCAGCTAACAGGCGGCAATAAAACCTTCCTAAACCTTCTGCATGGAGTTGGGGATGAGTACATGGCGCATGGTGGAGGGACCTCGGTGACACATCGCCGGCCCTCTGTTCTCTTCTGGGTCATGAAAAGCTGAGATTCTTCCTTGTGTTTGGAAGTTAATCAATTTTGCTTGTAAAATAGCTCTGTACACAGAGGTCCCGCCTTTAGGTTATTGGTAATTATAAGATGACCTGTAGTCTTTTGTGCAAGCAAATTAGATCTAATCAGTTAGGTGTTGGTTAACATAAGACTGCTGAGTAAAATTAACCTCTGAACAGCAGTTTCCATCTTATGTCTACACGTTTCTATGACAAACATTTAACCAATTTCGCTTCCTATAGCAAGGCTTCATGATCTCCACGTTATAAATCAGTAGTCATTAGAATGATTAAAAATACATGTCTTACTATAAATGGAGATTTTTATGATGTCAAGACTCAGAACAAGTATAGATTAAACTTAAATGTTCTGACAACTGGCAGTAAATAGTTGCTGATTTCTCAAACTAGAGAAGTAGAATGGCTATTTCACTTCTCTCTAATCTTAAGAGCAACAACTTTTCATTCTTTCAATGATCCTCAAAAGAAACCCCCAAAACCTATGACCTCCAGTTTGAATTTGATTACCTGTCAAGGCTGTAACAAAGATTTTAAAGGCTTACAATAATTTTTTTCCCCACACAGGTATATCACCATCCTTGAATCTCAGTTTCCTCATTTGTGAGATAGGAATAATATCTGCCTCATAACATTGATTTGGGGATTAAAGATCAAAATGAGCATAAAGTGCTTAGCAGAGTGACAAGGGTGTTATACTCAGGAAATATTTGCTGGGATGAGTTTTTATATTATAGGAACCAAGATTCAAAAGTTATCTAGATCCCTGTCTGGTGTAGCTAAGTGGTTAGAGCATCAGCCCATGCATTGGAGGGTGTAGCTAAGTGGTTAGAGCATCGGCCCATGCATTGCAGGGTCGTGGGTTTGATGCCCACATTGCAGATTTAATCCCAGGCCCTGGTCAGGGCACATGTGGGAGGCAACCTATCAATGTGTCTCTGTCACATCGATGTTTTTCTTGCTCTCTCTCCCCTCCCCCTTCCTCCCTTCCGCTCTCTATAAAAAAATCAATAGAAAAAATATCCTTGGGTGAGGGTTAACAGCAACAAAAAAAATTACCTAGGGGGAAAAAAGGTGGTGGGACATGGAATGTAGGGGTGTGATCAATATGGCGTTGGCTCTCCTTCGCTGGGACGTGGTGTTCAATGAGCAAGTCTGACCTGCAGTCCATGAAGGGGCCGGACCAGAACTGGGAGGGAGATTCAGGGCAGGGCACCTGGGCTGCCACTACCACATTCCCAGCCCATCTCTCATCACAGAGACTTCATTCCCTTCGGAGCCTAGAATCACTTGGAACTTCCCCACACAGGGCTTCGGTGGCCTTTGGCTGTGAATTTGCTGGTGGCATGTGAGCTGGAACCATTTGTCATCACTCAGCCCTCGGATTCCATGTTTAGGAATAGGTGAAGTAGGGAAACAACTCTACGGGATATTTTCCAAACTGTTTTATCTTCTTTTTAGAGGATAAACATTTCTGGGTATCGCTACCTTCCAAGTACTGGCTTGGGAAAGAGCCTTGATGGGTAGGTTACCAGGCCCCCTCCCTTGCGCAACCCTTTAATCTTGCTGCAACCTGTTTTTCTAGCCCTAGTGAGACCCAGGGAACCAAACAGGTGGAAGTCTGACCTGCAGTCCATGAAGGACCTTGTCTCAGCAGGAGACTCAGAATGCAGATTTCTTCTCCTTTTTGCTGGTGTCTGTGGCCAAAGGAACAGAACAAGCATGTTTTTTCTTTGTTTTTTTTCCCCCCCCCAGGCTTCCAGAAGAGCATCTGAAAGCCATCCAGGATTATTTAAGCACTCAGCTCACCCTGGATGCTGATTTTGTGAAGACGGGCTCCAGCAGTCTCCCTCATCTGAAGAAACTGACCGTGCTGCTGTGCAAGGAACTCTATGGGTAACAAGCCAGTGAGGCTGAGGGCGGGGACCTGGGCCAGAGAGTCAGCTCATTAGGGTGACCCAGGGCTCCCCCTGGCTGCTCAAACACCGCTGCTGTACTTGGGATAATCAAACAGTTGGTGGGGCTTAGAAATATCGTGGTTGTTTCAGGTTTGTTTGTATGGTATTTGAATTGTAGTGCCCTTTTCTTTTTCTTTTTTTTTTTTTTAACTGAAGTTCATTGGAGGCCAGTTGCTATGGGAAGGGGTGGGCAGGAAGTTCTCCGTTGGAGATATTTTTCCATTTGATGCTATTGTTATCATTCATTCATCACCAAGGAAAACATATACACATGGTACTCTCTTTTTAACAAACAATTTCATGATGGCTGGTAACAAGCCTTTATTTCTGCTCTAATGGAAACTCTTGGCTCCTTCCTTGTCCAGAAGAAAATATACCTTTAAGTCTGTCCACTAAGCTTATCCAATTACTTCAGCATGTGGGAAGTGTTCCCTGACATCTGATTGCTACCTGGATCTGGGTCATTCAAGGTCATAGAATTAATCACATGCCTCTACTTCAAAAAGGTTCCAACAATTTGTTTTCCTCAAAATTTCTGAGTGCTGGTGATCCTAAAACTAAGAACCCAGCAGCTTACTGAGTAGTTGGATATGAATACACTCAAAGCAAAAGTGTTCATTCTATACTCCCAGAACACAATATGAAGAGTGAGAGACCAATTTAAAAAGAGCAAGTAATTGCTCATTAGTAAATACTGATGATAAAGTGTTGACTAAGGTAAGCAAAATTTTTTTACCCAGGAAAAGATGAAAAATTGGACAGTAAAAAATTGCAGATCACTTTATAATGAAATCCAGCCCACCAAGGATGAAAATAACAGAATGGGAAAAAACCAACATCAAGATTAAATAAAAAGCAAAGCAATATATGAAGTTTATACCAATGTATAAAACTATTAACAAAATTTCCAACAGAAAACTAACAAAGGACATGAACAGCTTGTACAAAGAGAAATACAGTTACAACCAACTTTGTAAAAAAAAAAAATTGGTTAATGACATTAGAAATTAAAGATATGCAAATCAATTCATCAGCCTTGAAATGCAGGAGAGAGAGAGAGAGAGAGAGAGAGAGAGAGAGAGAGAGAGAAAGAGAAAGAATAATAGAAGGAATTTGGACAGCATATCTGGCTTGGACAGTGCTGATGACCCTATAATTGATACTAATATCTCAAAGGCTTGGAAATATTGATCAAAAGCTGTAATCTCTAGTTATCCTTAAATTGCAGTTGAGAATAAGAAAGGAAAAGCTATATGAACAAAGCTGTTCAGAGGGGCCTTTATTTATGATCCCCAAGATCTTAAAATAATCTAACATATAAGTATTTGGGCACATTTAGTCCATACATTATTTGGAAACCACTAGAATGTCAAATTTGTAAAAAAACAAAAACAAACAAACAATTTTTGATGAAGTAAGTGAAAAGTAGAACTCAAAATTGTTTGCCCATGAGAGAATACAAGATGGCTGCACAGGTAAACACCTAGCCACAGCTGCACACAACAATTTCAATAAAATACAACTAAAATATAAAATGGACATTACCCAGAACTACAGGAAAGTTGACTGACTGGAAATTCTACAATGAGAAGCAAGGAGAAAACCAGAAGGAAGCGCGGAGGAGCTGTAAGAGCCTAAGGTACAGAGACACCCGGCGCGAGCGGAGAGGACGGAGCCGGAGAGGAGGGCGGCTGAGTGCCTGGCTGGCGTTCCCTAGCGGGAAGGAGATAAAAGCTCTGACTGTGCTGGGCCCCAGTTCTGACTGCTCTGACCCCAGTTCTAGGCCAGACCCCGGGAACCCAGGCTCACACAGAGGGAGCTGGGCTGTAAGGCGGAACTCCGGGGGAGCGGTGAAAAGAGGTCCCGGAGGCAGGCACATTGCGCGCAGAAAAGGGACGGTTGGCTGTGCCGCAGGATTGCCCTGGCAGGAAGGAAACAGGGGCTCCAGACTGCTCTGAACACCACCTCCAACTCCACTTCCAACTGAACTGAACTCCAATTCCGGGCTCATTGGGGGAGAGCCTAGACTGTTTGGTAGCAGGCGAAAATCGAGGGCACCTTTCTCTTAGAGGTGCTTGCAGCGAGTACTGAAGAACCCAGAGACTCAGGAGCCGCATAGGGCGGAGCTAACGGAAGCCAAGACTGTAGGCTCCACCCTGAAACTCCGCCCCATCAGGGAAGCTGCGAAAATGCGACAACAAAAGAGATCACAAATGAAAGAAATGGAGGACAAAAAGCAACTGGATATAGAGTTCAAATCTACACTTATAAGGTTTTTCAAGAATTTCCTAGAAAAGGTCAATAAGACCTATAAGGATATGAAAAGGGATCAACTAGAATTAATAAGGAATCAACAAGAAATGATAAGGAATCAACAAGAAATAAAGAATACATTGTCTGAAATAAAAAATATTATACAGAGTCCTAAAAACAGAATGGAAGATTGCAAGAATCAAATAAAAAATTTGGAACATAAAGAGCCAGAAGACACTCCTCCGCAGAAGCAAGAAGACAAGAGAATCCAGAAAATTGAAGATGATGTAAGAAACCTCTGGGACAACTTCAAGCGAACCAACATCAGAATTATGGGGGTCCCAGAAGATGAGAGAGAGCAAGATATCGAAAACATACTGAAAGAAATAGTGACAGAAAACTTCCCCCACCTGGTGAAAGAATTAGACTTACAAGTCCAGGAAGCGCACAGAACTCCAAACAAAAGGAATCCAAAGAGGACCACACCAAGACAAATCATAATTAAAATTCCAAGAGCAAAAGACAAAGAGAGAATATTAAAAGAAGCAAGAGCAAAGCAGGTAGTTACCTATAAAGGAGCACCTATACGATTATCAGCTAATTTCTCCACAGAAACCATGCAGGCCAGACGGGAATGGCAAGAAATATTCAAGGTGATGAGTAGTAAGAACAGCCAAAGATAATCTACCCAGCAAAGCTATCACTCAGAATCGAAGGCCAGATAAAGAGCTTCACTAATAAAAAAAAAAAAGCTAACGGAGTTCATCACCACCAAACCAGAATTATATGAATTGCTGAAGGGGGTTCTTTCGGAAGAGAAAGTAAATAAAGATAAAAAATTATGAACAACAAATACGTAACTATCAACAAGTGAATCTAAAAACCAAGGAATTTTTTTTTTAAATCTGATGAACAATATTAACTGTTGAATATAATGGAATCAGAGGTATGGAAGGGGAGTGAACTGACGATTCTTGGGGAAAAGGGGAGAGGGGGATGTGGGAAGAGACTGAACATAAACTGTGCACCTATGGATGAGGACAATGGGGGGTGGGGAAAGGGCAGAGGGTAGGGTGGGAACCTGGTGGAGGAGAGCAATAGAGTGGGGGGGAAGAACATTTGTAATAATATGAACAATAAAAATTTATTTTAAAAAATAATAATAAAATAAATAAATAAATTGTTTGCCCACGATGCTTAAACACTTGGAAAAGATGAGAAGGGAAAGAAGAATCCATAAAGCCCTAGTATGGGCTCCTCAGGGATCAGGCCAAGGAAAACTTCTCTGGGTGTCCATCTGAGCTTGGTGGAGGGGACTTGAATGAGGAAGCACAGCTTGCCAGCACAGGAAGCCCTGGAGCACATATTTAAAATCTGAGACCAAATCAGATTGGGACCCAGAAATGTGCATTTTTAACTTAGGTATATGTGTGTGATTGTGTGTGTGTGTGTGTGTGAGTGTGTGTGTGATTCTTATTAACAGCAAATGTTGGAACTAAGTGATTTCAAAGTAGTTTTGAGATTCTAGATCAAAATTTTCTACAGGCCTTGTATGACTAAGTAAATCAGGTCTATAAATCACAACTCCGGTTTGGTCCGGGGTGTGGGATGGAAAGGAGTGGAGGTCTGGGGGATGGGCAGGCCTGCATCCTTGCCCGGGCTTGTTCTTCTGGGAAGGATTCTTGCCTTTGCCAGAAGGGGCTCAGATGGAGCTAGGGCTGCCTCAGCCGGAGTCCTCACTAATCCTTGACCTTCACCTTGTCCCCTGCCCCCAGAGAAGTCATCCGGACCCTTCCCTCCCTGGAGTCTCTGCAGAGGTTGTTTGACCAGCAGCTCTCCCCGGGCCTCCGCCCACGGCCTCAGGTAAGGGTTTGTGGGTTGGAAAGATGAGTTTGATAAACTGGGGTTGAGGGTGGGTTATCGTGTTATCGAGGTTGCCAGAGTCCAGATGGCTGAACTGTCAGAGTAAGCTATTGGTGAAGGGTGAGAGCCACAGAACTCTGCCCATCCCCATCCCCACCTCCATAAGACATTTCCCACTGCCTAATTTTGACCTGAGAAATAAGATTTTAAATCATGCACCCATCAGCAAAAGTACTTATTAGTGCTACATAAGGTGGCAGGGCCTCTTCCCAACATTTTCTTCAGAAACTGAAAGAAACACATGGGGTGCCTAAATTCTTGATGCTGCCTTTGCCCCAGGAAGAGCAAGGAATGCATGTACCTCCCTCCAGCCACAGTCACCTGCTCACGGCCTGGCAGGGGGCCGAGACCAAGTGGCCTTTGAGCAAAGATCTGTGTGACCAGAGGTTCATCTGCAGAATTAAAAACAAGGAAACTAATATCTCAGAGAAAGTACTTGCAACTAAGATAAGAGACAAAGGATTAACATGCTTTTTTTTTTTTAAGTCTACAAATAATTCAGCCAAAACAGCCCACTTTTTAAAATGGGGAGAGGATATAAAGAAGACGGTTCTACTGAAAAACTTGGAATGGCCAACATACACGTGAAAAGATGTTTGACCGTACCTCGTTAGTAACCAGAAAATGACATTCAAAACAAGGATGTGTATACTTGTATATCAGATAAGCAAATTGCTAATAGGTGAAGTCAGGGTTTGGCTGTGTGGGGACCAGGAACTCACAAGGACTTACCTGTTCGCACTGCTGGAATGGAAATGGATTTTCTGAAAGACTATTTGGCCATTTGCATAATTAGGGAAGGGAGAGCATTCACTCCTTTCTACCCTCCTTTAGTTTTTAACAGCTGGACTAGTAATAAAAATAATACAATTGACACAAGACTAGATTAACATGAGGAAGAAAAAACAATATGACACATGCATGCAGGAAAGCTACAGTGTAAACCCACAGGTGGCACTCAGACCATTTCACCCACTTCTAGACAGAGCTGTGAATTATGTCCTCAACACCCAAGCTAGTGACATATGGCTGTATCATTCTTTATTATGGAGACTATGCTGTGGCATTATTGGTTGTTAACACATCCTAGCCTTTATCCACTAGACACCATAAGCATACCCTAGTTGCTGACAATCCCAATGTCTCCAGACTTATCAAATGTCCCCCGGGGGGGGCAAAATCACACCAGCTGAGAACCACTGGGTTAGATCTACATTCATATCTCTAGGGTACACTAGCTGTGTGACCTTGGATAAGATAAACTCATCACTTTGAGTCAACTTCCCCATCTGCATAACAAGGATTATAAGAATAAATTTGCATGCAGATTAGATGAGTGAATATGTTTAAATTAAGAAGGATAAAGTGTAAGAACTCATTGGATCCTCCTTTACGTTCCACTGAATAAGACTCAGACCTATGGACAAAGCTCTAGCATTGTTCTCACACTTTCCAGTCCAAGAACTCACCGCCAGTTTGTCAGGAACTTCACTATAGTCTGTGAGTTTTTGCCAAGTCTGCTCCAAAAGACACAGATTCAGCAAGAGAGAGTGAAAAACACAAGCCAAAAAATTTCTATTTAGAGGGAGGAAAAAATGACAGCCAGGTGACTGTCCCAGGTAATTCCAAGCAGGCAATTCCAAGTGTTCAAGAGAGTGAATAAGGGGGTTAAAATCTGTTATCTTTTCAATCCTCCATGAGAAACCCCTTAAAACAAGGGGATCTTCAACTGTGTCATCTATTGACCAAAGCAGTCAGAGAAAATGTTGATAGGTGTGATGATGATGGTGATAGTTGTGGTGGGGGTGTGGCTAGTGGTTGGAGTTGGTTGTGATGATACTGACAGTGGTCATGGTGGGGAGGGGAGTGATGGTGAGGAAAATGGTGGTGATGGAGTGATGATTGATTAGTGATGGCAGAAGTAGTATATATCGTGGCTGGGTGGAAAATTGAGGTCAAAAGCAAGAATAGCCTGGCTGACTTGCTAAGCAATAGGGTGGGGTCAAAAAGCATCACTTGGTTGGAGATAACCCTGGTTCTGTTCTGCTTGGTATTCAAGTTAATCATGCATTTGTCTGACTCTTATTCTACTTCTGGAGGGCAGGGATGTCTTATTAACTCTACACCTCCAGCACTGGCAATGTGCCTGGCACAGAATAGATACTTTAGAAATGTTTGTTCTGGGAATAAATGCTTGAGGCTGTAGATTTGGTGCCAATAGGATTCAAGTCCTGCTGTTCCACTCACTAGCTATTTGACTTCTGACCAGTAACTTCAGCTCTCTGGGCCTCAAGTACGCTTTGAACAATTGTACTGAGCATCTTCCCTGGGCAGGCACTGTTCCAAGCCTCAAGGTTGCAGCACTGAACAGAGCACTCATGGTCCCAGTTCTCACGAAGCTTGCTTTCTAACAGGGAAATCAGTGAACAAATAAATGATTGTGGAGATTGATTTGCAGCAAAGCAGGGTGGTTTGATAGAGAGGACTGTGGCTGGCTACTTTAGCGTGGTCAGGGAAGCCCTCTTTGCAGATCTGAGACCTGAGTGTTAGGGGATGGCCTTCCCAGATGAAATCCATGTCTCTGGGAATTCCTCAGAAAGGGTAGCTCAAGGCCATGGGCAGATCAGAAGTGAGGCTGAGAGTAGCTGGGCATGCAAGGTTAGATCATATGGTCTTTGAGGGCAGGGTAAGCAGTTTCTCTATGGTGGAAAGCAACTAGTCTAGGGCTTTCAGCAGTGGAGTGGCTCTATTTTGGGAGCACAGCAGGAGCAGCGAAGACGTAGATGTAGGAAGAGGAAGGTAATAGGCAAGGCCAATCCTAGAGTTTTGTTTAAGCAAATGAGTGGATGAGGTATGAAACTCTGGGGAGAAGCAGATTTAGAGGGAAGAAAAAAATCACTTATTTTTTTTTTTTTTTTGGCCATGATACATTTGAGGTGATTGGGAATATTCTTGATTTCTTCATCTGCAAAGGGGGATAATAATATAATAGTACTCCTGAGGTTGTTCGGGGGTTGAAGTGAGATGAGGCCTGGAAAGTGCAGAGTGTTACACCTCTCAGTAACAGGTCATCAGTGACTGTGTCTTTCTTTGCTTGTTTCCTCATCTCCCAGGTGCCTGGTGAGGCCAATCCAATCAACATGGTGACCAAGCTCAGCCAACTGACAAGTCTACTGTCCTCTATTGAAGATAAGGTACTTGGGGGGTCCTACAGCTTCTGTTGGCATCTGATTACCTCTTTGCTCAGACAATGCAGACTGTGCTCCCTTTGACTGCCCCAAAGATGTGGCCTTTTCTTCATTTCCCAGCCTCCATGGCATTATACATTTATGCCCACAGGTCAAGGCCTTGCTACATGAGGGACACGAGTCTCCCCACCGGCGTTCTCTCATCCCTCCAGTCACCTTTGAGGTAAGTGGTTGTGCCCTTGTGCTTTGCTTTGGAAGCTGAGGAACACTCTCTTCCCTGTGAAATGAGGACTTTGGGCTCACCTGTACAAGGTCAGGGAGCCCAGCAACTGAGATTAGCGGTCAGTGGAGCCACCTGTGAAGATGTTTCAGCATTAGAATGGGTGTCCATATGAATCTGTGGAGCCTCATCAGGAAAGAGCCTCTTGGCCCAAGATGACTTAAACTTTGTCCTTCTCAACAGGGCTAGTGAGTGACATCAAATGGGACCTTCAAACTGGCTGCATAGTGCCTTAAGGGAGAATTAGTGGAAGGGAGGGATGCGTGTCCCATGATTTCCCCAGGAGTGAGTGAGTTAAAATCCTCAGACTCAGGCCCCAAAATTTGTTTTTCTTAATTATTCCCCGAGATTCTGATGTATCCAATTGCAGCCCTGGTCCCATATTCAGAAGCACAGATCAAGAGGCCCCAAAATGTCCCTCCCCACATCATCCTTTCTAGTCCTGATGATAAATCTGTCTTCTGAGCATGGCAATTGTACTTTTCCTAATTATTATCAATCAATGTTCAATTATTAGTTGTAACAAGGTTCAGAAGCTTAAATCTATTAGTAAAACCCTTCCTGGAAGTAGATGACATCAAATTAATGAATGTTGTCAGACTAGGCAGGGAATGAATAATTTTCCAGTAGTCCATCTGTTTCCTCCACCAAACCTGTTGGTAGAAGAACTAATGTGCACACAGCAGACTGGCTGGGCTCCTTGCCACATTTTAGCAATTCTTGGGAGCTGCCAGTGGAAACCAGGGTGTGTGGCCCTGAGCAAGGGAGGCTTAGAAATAGAAATCAAGGAGCCCAATATGGGACACTGAGGCTGAACTGGCCAAGGGCTGACCAGCCATATAGATGAGGAGCTCTTGAAAGCCTGGACAGAGACGAGATGACCTACATCTCTCCTCTGTCTTCTTCTCCTCCCCTGACCCCTCTTTTCTCTTCTCCTTCTCTTCATAGGTGAAGTCAGAGTCTCTGGCACTTCCTCAGAAGTTGCAGCTCAAAGTCGATGTTGAGACTGGGAAACTGATCATTAAAAAGTCCAAGGATGGTTCTGAGGACAAGTTCTACAGTCACAAGAAAAGTAAGACTCTCACACCCACAATGCTCTCATCTGTTAGTGCTCTTACTGATGACTGGTCTACAGCAGGTGGCTGGGGATGCATATCCCGCCAGGCTTATGACACCCCTATGCTAGGATACCCTCTGCCCCATCCTGCCTGTGGAACCCCTCCACCCCCACCCAACTCTAGGGCCCACCTCTCAGGCCCCCTCCTTCCTGAGGCCTTCCCTGTCCATTCCGCCTCCTTCCTTTGAATCCTGGGGAAATGTGGCAGCTCTGTGATGCATTCCTCCCCAGAGGGAGCCAGGTTGATGCATACAGTCACCTCCCGGGGCCTGGTCCAGGGCCCTGCATACAAAAGGGCCCATATCAGGAAGCATCTTTAGTGTAACAGAGACTGAGAGACAGTTTCAAGTGCATGGGCTCTGAAACCAAACTGCTCAAATTCACAACCCAGCTCTGCCTCTTAGCAGCTGTGTGACCCTGGACAACTTAATTGCACTGGACTTCAGATTCCTCATCTGTAAAATAGATGGATAAGGATTAACTGAGTAATCTGCATGTAAGGCTCCTTAGGAAAGAATCTAGCATGTAGGAGCCACTCATAGCACCTGAGGCTTTACACCATCAATTAAACTCATCTGTAAAATGGGAAATGTTCACATACCAGATGCTTATGGGCTAATTAGTTCAACAAGTTATTGTGGGCTAAGCACTGGGAATCCAAGGCCTCTACAGCACGGAATTTACATTCCAGAGTGTTGAGTGACCATAAATACTCAAAATACAGGGTGGCGCAAAGTAGGTTTACAGTTGTTCATATCAAAAACAATACAATAATTAATGAACAATAATAATATAAAATTAAACTCTGTTTTGCATACTCACAAATGTAAATCTACTTTTGCCCATTATGTATAGCAACACAATGTTTTCAGCTATTGATAAAGTGCTGTGAAGGAAAACATCCAGGATAGTTGTAAGGAAGGCAGAATAGAGCAGCTAAGACGGAGCAAGAATAAAGTCCTTAGACATGAGCGTGATAGGCCGTCATACTCACGCAGAGTTGAGATCACAGTGTTGGGCAGGACCACTCTGTCCACTGCCAAATTGGGCAGGAGAGATGGGGATTTACTGAGGGTATGAGCAGGAGAGGACTGTGTTGAAAGTGATCAGCTTAAAGCCATAGTTTCCTCTTACCTATCACAGAGAGTGAGTTAAAACTGAAAGGACGGTTCCAACTCTGGAAAGAGGAAGGAGAAACTTAACATGAGGGAAGATATTATCAAAGAGTGCCTGATTGTTCTAAAAAAAAAAAAAAAAAAAAAAACCTGGAGGTTTCTAGGTTGAAAGAAATACCTCCCAGGATTCTGAAAAGTGCTGTGAACTCTTGTCAGCTTATTTCAAAGACTTTTTTCTTTTTTCTGAGCATCTGCCAAAAGCCAACTCTGACTTATAGACTTTCCTTAATAGAATTAGCAATTTAAAGGTGGAAACTGATATGTGAGCCTGCATTAGCCTGGCAGGTAGATTGATTAGCTCAGCTGTTGGGTGGTACAAGGAGGCTTCATACCAAAGAGATAGCTCTGTCTGGGCTTTGAAGAATTAGTTCACCAAGCATGAGGCAGGAAGAACTCTTGGACTAAAATGTTGGCATGTGCAAGGAATAGAGAAGGATATTAGGGGAATTACATGTTACTTGTGCCCCTAAAGAGAGGAACAGTAGGAAATGGGGTCCCAGATGTGGGGCAGGTCCTTGAATGCCAAAGTCAGGGCTGGAGATGTTGTCTTGTGGACACTGACATATTTACCGCCAGTTTAGAATAGTGTTTGGCACAGAGTAGGTGATCAATAGATGTATACTGAGTAAATGAATGAGTGAAGACTTGTCTATCAGTAGCATTTTCATAGTCATAATACAAAACACTGACTAGTTACCCAGCCAAAATTATTATATAATTCTTGGAAAGATGATGGGGGGGACCGGCATTATGAGTTGGTGGGGGGAGAAAGATGGCGAGAGGGGGGACAGGCTGTATGTTTGAAAGAGAGCTAAACTGTCATCTTCCATAGTGCAAAGTCAATATGCAAAGGAAATATTCAAATATTTAAACCTGAAACACCAGGAAGTATCAATATAGACATGGAGTAAAATTCCAAAAGAATCCATTAAGAAAATTGAAAGTGGTTATTTCTAGGAAGCAGAACATTGGAGGCAGGTAGGATTGAGGGGTATTATTATATGTACAAATCTTATAAAACATCTTGAGTCTATCATTGATAGAAATAAAAAAAATTAGCTATAAATTAAAAGCAAAGCAAAAGTAGAAAAGGAGAAAGGGAGGAGGATAAAGAAATAAAGAAAGGGGGGAAAGGAAGAAAGATGAGAAGACAATTAGCCACGCTCTTCCTGCTCCGACCGGGTCACCTCTTGCTTGCCAGTCTTTCTAAGCATGAGCTTCTCCCTGGAAGAGCAGCCAGGAACAAAGGGACCTGGGAAACTAGGCACAGATTTGGTGCTCTGCCTGAGGATGGGAGAGTCAGGGTTGTGGATGTTCAGATGCCAGAATGTAGTGGACACTCTGTACATATTGGGTGATGAATAGGTGAATGAATAAGTGAACTTTTATTTCTCTTAAGTCCTGCAGCTCATCAAGTCTCAGAAGTTTCTGAACAAGTTGGTGATTTTGGTAGAAACAGAGAAGGAGAAGACCCTGCGGAAGGAATATGTTTTTGCTGATTCCAAAGTAAGTGATGATTACTAAGACAGCCGAGAGGGGAATGAGGGATGCATGTTTTTCAAAACGGGCTCTGTGCCTGGAAGTTCATACCAAGAGCTCACTCAGTTCTCACGACCCATTTTCCACCTGGGAAAGCTGAGCCCAGCTGGGATTTGAGCAGTCACAGCCCTCTCATCTTTCCCCTCCTCCACGCTGTCTGCCCAAGAGCATGCATCTTTTATTGCTGTCTTTACCCAGACCCATTGGGAGGCCGTTAGCTTCTCTGAGCTACTCTAGGAAGTGTTCTGGGGCACCCCATATTTAAACCTGAGTCCCAACCAGTGGCCTCTCCATTTCTGCACACGGCCCCAGTCTGCAGAAATAAGGTGCCTGTTAGGACTGGCTCCTGGAGTGAGAGGTAATTCGGGCCAATGGGAATCCTCGGGGACTTTGGACATCACATGGGCAGGGTTCTCTGTGACCTAATCTCACCTCTGACATGCCCACCAGGGGTTGAAACCCACCATTATAACCTCTGAAATCAATAAAATATATTTTTTAAATGTAATGATGCTATTCATACTGTTTTGTCAACAGGTTTTTTTACGCTTAACAATATATTTGCCCATCTATCCTTATTGATAAAGTATTTCTGCACCAAAATTTTAGAACCTTATAGTATTCTAGTGTATGGATGACCCACAATACCATTATGAATTCCTTTCCTAAGATTGTACATTAAGGTTATTTCTCACTTTTTCCATATTGAAATGTGTGCTGTAGTTCTTCGACATGGTGGGGCCCTGGTCCAGTTCCTGGATATTCTCCTGGAGTCTGGTCCCTGCCGTGACATAGCTGGGCCACAGAACAGCCACTTTCTTAGTCTTGGGACCCATTTCCCCATTGCCCTCCTGGAAGTGTGGACTGATTTGTGTGCCTCTCAGTTTTCCTGAAGCTGGCCACACACTTTGAGAGCGTAATGGGAGGGTGCAGAGGCCTTTCTGAGTCTGTCTGCCCTTCAATCCCTAGAAGAGAGAAGGCTTCTGCCAGCTCCTGCAGCAGATGAAGAACAAGCACTCGGAGCAGCCTGAGCCCGACATGATCACCATCTTCATCGGCACCTGGAACATGGGTAGGTACAGCTGCCTCCCTCCTTCCTGTCACTTCCCCTTGGGTTCTACTTCCTGCATCCAGCATCCTCAAAAGGAGGGAACCTGTCTCCCCCACCCCAGCCTACCAGTGCAGCCTCCCTTCTAGGGTATTCTAGCATTTTCCTAAGACAATAGATAAGGGGGCGAGTCCTGGGACTCATACCCCAAGAGCCACTGCAGAGGGTTACATTGTGTGTCTAAGTTGAAGGATATGAGGTAAAGAATCTGTATGTCTAGGTCAAGGGGCTCTTGGGCACCTGCCAGTCTTAGGCAGCCCGCCAAGGGTCCCCGGATCCAAAGAAAGAAAGAACTTCCTTAAGTAACATTGCCAGAGACACAGAGAGAGAGACAGCGAGAGAGGAGAGAGATGATGCCCAATTAAATTCAAATTTCATGTAAATAACAAATAATTTTTGGTATAGGTGTTGACCTAGAAATGCATACATACAGGGTGTCCCAGAAAAAAATTTGGACACATTTTGAATAATTATAAAGGCAGTATTTATTAATATACATTTCATTTTTTAAATGTAATAGAATCTACAGATATAGCATATGTACATTTTTTGGGACACCCTATATATTACACTAAATATATATATATTATATTTTATATGTAAATATATATTATATACCAAATATATAAATATTATATGCTGAATGTAAATGTTACTAAATATTTAGTATAACTATGTAGCTAGAAATAAGTACTAAATGTATACTAGATATGTACTATATACTTATATACTAATATACATTCATATACTAACTGTAAATTATGCTAAATAATATATTTAGTGTGAATATTCAGCTCGAGATGAAAAATAAGTAGATATAGGATGCACAATTAAATTTGAATTTCAGACAAACCGATATTTCATGGGATATACTTATTCTGAAGATTATCTGTTGTTTATCTGAAATTCTAACTTAACTGGGTGTCTATCTCCCCAACCTGGTCGGGAGCAGAGTCAGGCCCATTCTGTCTCGACACAGCAAATAGCCGCCCAGCAGCATCAGGAAAGGAGGGAGTGAAGGAGGTTTTACACACTCCTCCCGATTCTCTGGCTAGCACCCTCACATCAGACCTTGGCTGAGATCTCTCTTTTGCAAGGAAGCAATTGTTGTCTCCCAACCGTGGGCTAGAAGCCCCATCCCAAACCTGTCAGCCTACCTACGGGGTCATCCAGGCAACAGAATGTATATTCCTCAAGGACTGTCTCAGTTCCCAGAATGTATATTGCTTGAGGACTGTGTCTCAGTTCCCAATGTGGCTTCAAAGACCAGCTGGTGTTTGACCTCATGTGCAACTAGATCAAGACACCATGTGGAATCTTCTATGTTTCTAGTCTTTGAAACTTCACATTATCTTTAAAAAGAAATGTAACTGGGGATGATAGTACCTAGTTCTCCATCTAAGGTAATTTGTTGGGTGGCCTGAATGGTTTTCATGTCTGTGGGACTCCCCTACCCCAGTCCTTCCCCCACCTCTGTTTGAATTCTTCTGTTGTACCTGTGACTCACTTCGTGTTGGGTTTTGCTGTTGAAGGTAACGCCCCCCCTCCCAAGAAGATCACGTCCTGGTTTCTCTCCAAGGGGCAGGGGAAGACGCGGGATGACTCTGCTGATTACATCCCCCACGACATCTATGTGATTGGCACCCAGGAGGACCCTCTGGGGGAGAAGGAGTGGCTAGAGATACTCAGAAACTCCCTGCAAGAAATCACCAGCATGTCTTTTAAAATGGTGAGCAGCTGATCACGGCCCCAGCTGGGACTCCAGGGGAGCGGCTTTGTAAGGCCGGCCAGGACCTCTGAGAGGCAATGGTGGGCTCAGCATCTCAACTCTCAATTTCCGAAGTTGCCTGGGTACTCAGTGGTTCTCCCCTACCTTCCAGGGCCAGAGAAGGGACCTGTATTCAGAAATTGATGGAGCCCATGGGTGCTGCTGAAAGTGACAGGGTCCTCCCTCTGCCCTACTCGTGCTTTACTTTATTGAAACTTCGTCAGTCCCGGCTCTCATCTTTAAGATACTTTATGTCACCTGTGGGACATCCCTAGGAGTCCCCCAAAGTTTAGGGGTTACAGACAGAGAACTCCACACCTGGGAGGTGAGGACAAGGTGTGAATCTCTTGCTCCGGGGTCACAACGTTGTCCTCCCCACCAGATCGCTATCCACACCCTCTGGAACATTCGCATTGTGGTGCTGGCCAAGCCTGAGCATGAGAACCGGATCAGCCACATCTGCACCGACAACGTGAAGACAGGCATCGCCAACACTCTGGGTGAGCAAAGAGGGCCACTTTATCCATACTCCTGCCGCCATGCCCACCCATCTTGTCCAGCTCCATTAGGACGTTCCCAGATTAAAAATGGAGTCTCAGATCCTGAGATCCCCTGGCCCTGGACAAACCAGGGTCCCCCAGCTGAAACTTATCTGGTCAACACCAGCACTCCAGAGATCTGGCTGACATGCAGGTTCTGACTCAACAGGCCAGGTGGGGCCTGAATTCTGCGTTTCCAACCAGGTAGTGTCAGTGCTGGTCCAAAGGCCCCACCTTGAGTGTCAGGGACCTAGGAGGGGGTCGACACATTTACTATTAAGGACCAGAGAGCAAATACTTGAGGCTTTGTGGGCCATATGTCACTCCTCGTTCCCACTGCTGTCACACAAAAGCAAACACAGATGCATGAAATGAAATGAAGAAGCTGTTCTGTAAAATTTTATTCATAACACAGGCTGTGGGCTCGAGGTGGCCACAGGTGTAGGCTGCCAACCCCAATCTGGATCTAGACTGACTCGGGTGAGATGTGTCTCTGAGCTGGTGGGACTCATCAGGGTGCTTCAGAGAATCGGAATAAGAGCAGAGGGCCCCATGAGGCTGTGAGTGTGAGTCTGTGGGTGTATAAGTGAGTGTACACATGAATGTATCTGTGTGACTCTGTCTGTATGTATGGAGGTGCTCCGCGTGGTTGAGGGCAGAGGTAAGGGCGAGGCCAGTGGTTTCTGGGGGTTGGAGTCAGGGACAGAACAGTTCCAGAGAGAACAGGAAATAGAATTGTTGCAATTGATTGTGAAAAGCTCTCTCAAGTTTTCTGCTGACAAATCACACCTGCCCAGGTCCACACCCCCTCGTGCCTCCTTCCTTCCTGTCTCAGTAGCTGCCCTGCTGTGAAGCCTACGCCCTTCTGCTGCCCAGGAACCTCTTTCTAGTGCTTGTTTGGTCTCTGCTGGGCCACCCACCCGTTCCCAAGGAGGTGGTGCCGGCTTATCCCCAACGCCCTTTCAAATTCATGCTTTGCCCAGGGCTGTCCAGCCCAGACAGAAGGGGAGCCATGTGGGGGGTTTAAATATTCTCTTAGCCACATTGAAGAAAAGAAAACAGGCAAAGTCAATTTTTTAAAACTATATATTTTTATTCATTTCAGAGAGAAAGGGAAAGGGAGAGACAGAAACATCCATGATGAGAATCATTGATCAACTGCCTCTTGCACGCCCCCTAGTGGGAATCAAGCCCACAACTCAGGCATGTGCCCTTAACCAGAATTGAACCCGGACCCTTCAGTCCACAGGCCGATGCTCTATCCACTAGCCAAAGTCAGTTTGGCCCTAACTGAATTGGGGGTGGAGCGCAGTGATCTGGGTTTGCCTATCCAGCTAAGACCAAAGTCAATATTAATAATAAAATTTATCAAGCCTTATACATTCAAAAGATTGCCATTTCAATGGGTATTCAATAAAGAAAAGTAGAATTTCCACTCTGTTTTTCTTACCAAGGCTGGTAATTCCGATGTGTCATTGACACTCAGGGCCCGTCTCAGTTTGGATCAGCCATGTTTCAAGGGCTCTGTATGTAGGCTCTTAGCTGCTGTATTGGGCAGACCAGTTTCTCAGACTTCATGTGTCAGAATCACCTATAACAGAAGTCAGCAGACTTTCTCTAAAAGGCCAAATAGTGAATATTTTAAGTTCTGCAGGTCATACAATCTCTGTTGCACCTACTCAACTCTGTCTATGGGTATGGCCGTGTTCCAATGAAATGTTGTTTATTCATTCCGAAACTTAAATTTCATATTTTAATGTGTCACAAAATAGTCTTCTTTTGATTTTTCCAACTCTCTAAAAGTGTAAAAACCATTTTTAGCTAGTGGTGGGCCAATTGTTTATGCACCCCTGATCTAGAGGATTCGGCAAACCCAGATCACTGTGCCCCACCCCAGATTCAGCAGGTCCAGGGCAGGGCCTGAGAATGGGTACTTCCCACACGTTCCCAGGTGATGGTGATGCTGCGGGGCCAGGGAACACACTCTGAGAACCGCTGGTCTAGAAGGGAGTAAAACTGATAGAAAAAGAGGTGGTTTAGGTGTGGGTTTTGGTCTTACAGGAAACTGAAGTTAGCGGGGTGGAAGGTCACCCTCCCCTCCCCGCTAGCCCTGTCTCTTCCTCCTGAATCTTCTTTCCGAAGCTTCTGGCTGCTTTTCGTATCCTGCCTGCATGGCATGTGTGGTGACCGAGAGCCCCTTCCGGGGAAATGCCAGGATGGGTTACACTGGCAGCCTCCTCCCTCGGCCCTTCAGAGAACCCAAGGCTGCTGACCATTCCCCTTGTTTTCTTACTCCCCTGGCGGAATCTCATCCCCCAGGCTATCACCTGTCCTATCCTCACCACCCCCACCTTTTATGTTTTGCTTTTTTCCTTCTCCTCCACTTTCCCACACCTGCTTCCACCCCTCTTTCTTCACCTTGATGTCCTGGTTTGCCTGTTTGACATTCTGACTTCTTTTTCCCTCTCTTCAGGGAACAAGGGAGCCGTGGGGGTGTCATTCATGTTCAACGGAACCTCCTTGGGGTTTGTCAACAGCCACTTGACTTCCGGGAGCGAGAAGAAACTCAGGTAATAGCATTTGTTCCCCAGAGCCTGTGTCGGGTTTTTTGCCCAGACAGACCTCACGTCTCTGATAATGGCGGACTGACTGCTCAGGCCTCGGCTGGGACCCTTTTAGGGCTTTCCCCGTGGTCTCTTCAGAGGCAACTGCAGCTCAGGAGCGAACCCCCATGTGGAGGAGTCTCGTCTGAAGGGCAGAGCAGACATTTCCTGTGTCATTAACCAAATGTGTTAATGTCTGAAGGGCAGAGCAGACATTTCCTGTGTCAGACATCCAAGTGCCACTTCTTTTTAAAGGGGAGAACCTGCTGAGACTGGTTTGGCTCAATGGATAGAGCGTCGGCTTGGGGACTGAAGGGACCCGGGTTCGATTCCGGTCAAGGGCATGTACCTTGGTTGTGGGCATATCCCCAGTAGGGGGTGTGCAAGAGGCAGCTGATTGATGACTCTCTCATCGATGTTTCTAGCTCTCTATCTCTCTCCCTTCCTCTCTGTACAAAATCAATAAAATATATATTTTTTTAAATAAATAAATAAATAAAGGGGAGAACCTCCTCTGGGCACACTCACTGACAGGTGCCAGTTGGTCGTGAAGACAGCCATCCAGAACAGTCACGATTCTGATTCCCATGGAGCACATACTCCCAGGGCCCGGTCTGCTGCAACAGAGCCAGAAATTCAAGTCTCAGTTCCCGCCCTGTCCCTCTGATGTCCCACCACGGAGGAGTAGGGAGCCCTGTGCTAAGATGGTCGTTTTGTCATTTAATCAGGCGAAACCAAAACTATACAAACATTCTCCGGTTTCTGGCTCTGGGAGACAAGAAACTGAGTCCCTTTAACATCACTCACCGCTTCACCCATCTCTTCTGGCTCGGGGACCTCAACTACCGTGTGGAGCTGCCCACCTCGGTAAGGAGCTGCCCGCTGGGGCTGCCCACCTGGGTGGGGAGCTTTCCATCGGGTGAGGGGCTTCCACCTGGGTGACCAGTGTCTGTCGGGCTGGCCTGCATGGGCAGAGGCTCCCTTGCATTGTCCCAGGGCAGAGGACCATGGAGACACAATGACCGAACTGAGCCAAGGCAGCTACTCCACCTCGGAGACTCAGAACTGTTCCCATTGCGGAGTGCCCGCCTTTCTTTATGGGCTGTCTGCGCTTGTGCCTAGTTCCCACATGCCTGTCCCTGCTGCCCTGCCTCACCACCACTCTGCCTCTGTCCTCCCACTGGCTGGCTGCACCCCTCAGCCTGCCAGTCCGAGGTCGCCAGCAGAGGCTGAAGTCTGACTCGATCAGCTGTTTTCTCCCCAAAGCACAGGTCACTGTCCAGCCCAGGGAAGCAATTCTCTAAGTTGGATGCCCACCCCTGACCCAGTGAGCAGTGGTCAGAGGGCCATGTGGCACAGATGCAGCCTTGTACCCTCGAGGAGGGAAGGGGGTGGACAGGCATGGCCACTGGATGCATGTTGAACCAGATGAGGTTGTTTTCATGTTCCTGGAAGGAAGATGGGGCAGGAGGCAGACCTAGGAGCAGAACCCAGCCCGTCTGCCCAGAGACCTTGATTAACTGCCTGTTGTGTCCGCGTCTAGCTGCCATCCTGTGACCTACTTTTACAGAGCAGAGAGAGCTCTGGGGCACAGACAGGCCAAGGAAAAGGCCTTGGGCCTGTTACAGATCACAGACAAAGCTGGAATTGAACCTGGACTTTCCCATTGTCCCACATACCTCAGCTGCCTCCACCTCCCACTGCCACAGCAGCTCTACAGAAACTGGGCAGCTTAGGGTCCTTCATGACTCCCTGACCACTTCCTCCCTCCTTCTCAAGGTGCTTCTCCTGGCCCCTTTCCTTCTCTCTCTCCTACTGAGCAGGCAGATGAGAGAGGGTGGATAGGGACCCTTCAGAGTCTAAGGGGCTGTCACAGCCATTCACTCGCCAGGAGATGACCAAGTGCATTGGCCAGAGCAGAGATAACAGGTCACAGGAGGGAGGACTGCTGGCTTCCAAGGCCAGCACATCCTCTGGATGTCACACCGATTCCTGGGGTCCCAGCCCAGATCACAGAGGCCTGATGAGATTTCACATCCTTTCATGGCCTTATAACAGGCTGGCTCAGTTCCCAGAGAAAGAGAGAGCAATAGAGACATGCCTACATACCTAATGAAGTGTTAATAAGATGATATTAAAGGAGAGTATGAAAAAAAATAGATTGCCCCTCAGTAAATTTGGAATAATCAGGAACTTATGTTATCAGGTTGATATTTCACTATTGCAGGATTTTTCCTGTAAAAATGGTTGAGCTAAGAAATACCTACCCAGCAACCCCAGGTGGGGGCTGGGGGCTGGTACAGCACCAAGGCTCCGGGATCTGGTGCAGTGGGCAGCGGGTGATGAGGTGCCTCCTGAGCACGTTGGTGAAGAGGGGTGTCTCACAGTGGCCATGTCCTTGCTCCAGGAGGCAGAAACCATTATCCAGAAGATTAGGCAGCAGCAGTACGCAGACCTCCTATCCCACGACCAGCTGCTCATGGAGAGGAAGGAGCAGAAGGTTTTCTTGCACTTCGGTAAGAACTGATATCCTCCCTGGGACTCTCGTTCTGTCTCCCTTCTCCCCGAATATCCTCTCAGAGCCGTGGGGGAAGGGGCGGTTATGTCTGGAGGAGAAGGAAACTTGGCCAGATATGAGACGTGGGAATGAAAGCTGAAACCAGGGTTTTGTTTGGTTTCAGAGGAGGAAGAAATCACGTTCGCGCCCACCTACCGTTTTGAAAGACTGACTCGGGACAAATATGCCTACACTAAGCAGAAAGCCACGGGGGTGAGTCCTCATAGACACCTCCCCTGCCCTCCGTCTCCACACTCCTTGTACATCTCACTGCTTTTGTATCTGTTCCCATAAAGGTAAGCAGACGGATGAATGTCCTTTTTCACTAGGCAACAACAAAAACAAGAAAATGGAAATCTCATGTAGATTGTGTCACAGAGCAAAACCTCTAAGGAGAGTCTGGGCAGCCAGATTTAGACACTGTGAGAAGTTAGTCTCATGACTCCTACAGTATTTATCTTTTATCCCAGTATCCGAAGATTCTGAGAGGACTTGAAATGTTATTCCCTTAAGTGGATTCTGAAGCTCCCTTAGCAAATATATATGCTAATCTGCCAAGTGATTCATCATTAAACAAGCTTCTTGCTATGGGACTTACCAGAGCCTTGTGGACTTATGAACACTGTATTCTCCATGAGGAAATTCAGGTGCCAAACTTGATTGGTTATGGAATATCAATTAACATCAGATGAGGCCACTTGTGTTCCAAGTAACTGTGTTTGGGGAAAGCTGCAATAAAGCATTTATTTATTTTTGTTGGACAGATATTTACTGATGACCTGTGATGGACTGGGTACTCTGCTAGATGAGGGAGATCAAAGAGGAGTGGGGTGCCTGTCCCCCAAAAGTTTAGAGTGGGAAAGACAAAACAAGATAAATACACTATAAGACTGTGACAATGACTGATGCAGATCGGGTTGCCATGGATTAAGAACTAGAAAATCAGAAGGCAGAGCTGGCTTGGAGGGATAAAATAGAGCTTATTTTTTAGACTTATTGTACAATATTTGTGGAAATCTCAGAAAACATCCAGAAGGCAGTTAAAATACTAGATTGATGCTGAAGAGAAATGCCAGGGCTGGGTCATAGATTTGAGAGTCATCAGCAGAGAAGACAAAGAGTGAGCAGAAATTAGTAGAGAAGAGCCAAGTACAGATCTGAGGTCCATCTATGGTAAGAGACGAGAGGAAGAAGCCGAGACAAAGGAGATGGAAAAAAGTATGGTTGGTAGATGGTGGGAAGACCAACCCGCACAGCTCAGCATCACAGACTTAGGGGTAACCAGTATGAAATGTGAGTCCAGAACATGTGCCAGTCACGTGACCCTGCCTGAAGAGCTGGATTTGTGGCTCACAGTGTTCGGTAGACTTTAAAAGAACAGTGTGCACAGAGTCTTCGAGGTGAAATCCAGGCTGCAGGAGGACAAGGTAGCTCTTTACCAAGGCTGTGCAGATGAGTCTCTGGTGGAGTTTTTCAGAGACATAGTTGTCTGGGACTCATCCCCACAAGTTGTGATGCAGTAGATCTGGAGTGGGGCCCCACTTTCTATATCTTTGTGAAGCTCCACTGGTAATTCTCTGGGGTGGCCAATGTTGAGAACTGCAAGGTTAAAGAAATGAGAGTGGCAGAATCTATGCAACTACACATGCATTTATCCCTATTCCATCTTGGTTTATATAAAAGAGAGATCAGTACATTTGTTCACCAAAAGACAAATACAAAAATGGTTATAGCTTTGTTTACAGTGTCCAAAAACTGAAAACAATCTTACTTCCATTAACAGTAGAATGGATAAAGGTGGTATATACATACAGTGCAATAGAACCACAGTAATTATGTGAAAGAACATCTATATGTAACAACATGATTGAAAGAGGCCAGACGGAAAAAAAAAAAAAAAGAGTATTTAATTGCCCCTTGGACAACTCAGGGGTTAGAGTGATGACCTCCATTCAATAGGAAATCCATATATAACTTTTGACTCCCCCAAAACTTAACTATTAATAACCTATTATTGGCCAGGATCCTCACCCATAACATAAATAGTCGATGAACACATATTTATATGTTATATGTGTTATATATTGTAGTCTTACAATAAAGTAAATTGGGGAAAAAAGAAAATGTTATTAAAAAAATTAAAAGGAAAAGAAAATAGCTAAAACCGGTTTGGCTCAGTGGTAGAGCGTCGGTCTGCAGACTGAAGGGTCCCAGGTTCGATTCCGGTCAAGGGCATGTACATTGGTTGCGGGCACATCCCCGGTAGGGGGTGTACAAGAGGCAGCTGGTTGATGTTTCTCTCTCATCGACGTTTCTAGCTCTCTATCCCTCTTTTCTCCTCTCTGTAAAAAATCAATAAAAATATTTTTTAAAAAAAAGGAAAAGAAAATAGATTTATAGTACTTTACGTATTTATTGGGGGAAAAATCTGTGTATAAGGACCTGCACAGTCAATCTGTGTTCTTTGAGGGTTGACTATATATTGGATGAGCTCCATGTATAAGTTCAAGAGTAGGCAAAATTAATCAGAGGGGACATTATTCATAATAGAGTTCACCTCAATGAGGTGATAATATTGACAAGGAAGGGACAGGGAACCTTTTGTGATGATGGAAATCATGTTGTTACATACAGATGTATGTAAAATGGATGTATTCTGATGTAAAAATTCCTCAAGCTATACATTTAAGATTAGTACACTTTACTGTATATAAGTTGTACCTCGGGTTAAACACACACACACACACACACACACACACACACACACACACAAATTGACAGTCTAAAAGTAGAGGCAAAAAGAGAACATTCTTGAAAGAAAATTGATAAAAATAAGAAAAGAAAAATATTGAAGGCGATGGCAAAGATAGGTTCTTTTAGGATGAGTACCTTTACATTCATAGGCAAAGGAGAAAGAACTGGAACTTAAGGAGATAAGGATATTGATTAAAGAGGATTATTATCATTGCCAGGTTGCCTTGTTTACCATACCCAATAGTAGTCTTATTCACTAGCATAGTCTTGAGAGGGCTTGTACATATTGTTTGAATGATTGGATGTGTGGGTAGGTGGGTAGGTGGGTGGATGGATGGATGGATGGATGGATGGATGGATGGATGGATGGATGGGTCGGTGAATGAATAAGTAGATGGATGGTAAGATGGATGGATAAGTAGATAGATGGATGGATGTGTGAATGGGTCGATCAGGTGTACTGGCTGGAGTATGTTATTAAGTGAAGTAAAGAGAAGATAAGCAGAGACTAGGTTGAAAATACTGGTAGAGGGGTTTATCTGAGTTAGAAAACAAATAAGAGAATATAAAAAATACATGAGATTCTGAAATAATGAGGAGGATAGGTAAGGGAGCACAGCCAGGTGAGTCAATTTTTATTCTAAAGCTGGAGTCCAGGGAGTCTGAAAGTGTGAGGCAGTGGAGTTGGAACTTGAAGCAAGCAAAAAGCATTTAAGGCTACCTATGGGTAATTCTATAAATAACCAACCACAGAAGAAGCCAAGGGTTATGAAGTCCACAAGTTCATCTTTTCTTTTACTGATACACATATTTTTTAAAGCTGCAGGCATTTTACATAGCTTGTGACTTTGATTTGCAGATGAAATACAACTTGCCTTCCTGGTGTGACCGAGTCCTCTGGAAGTCGTACCCCCTGGTGCATGTGGTGTGTCAGTCCTATGGTGAGTGGCATGCTGGGAGGTTCGATGCCCTAAACTAAAGGGCTCTGATCTGTCCATCTGTAAAACAGGAGAGCTCCCTGCAGCCCTAGTCAGGTTGGTCACCTAAAGAAGTGGGTGTATCCTCAGTATTTCTAGAATTGTGTTCTCTCTCTTGTCCACTCCAAACTGCTCTACTGCCACTCCCCTGGCTCCTTAAAAGAGTTGTCTAATCTCTGTGTCTATACTTCATCACCTTCACCCTCTCCTGATCCTCCAATCATTATGGGATGAGGGAAGGTGCCATCTCTCTTACCGATGAGCTCAGTGATTTAAACCCCCATCCCATTCTGGACCATGAGCTTCTGGTCCAGAATACAACCAAGTGCTTAAACCATGAAAACCTAGCAGAGGCACATTTTAGCTATGGACGGTGTCACGCACAGTTACTGAGACTTTTGAGTGTAGTTGTGGAAGGTCAGTGAAAAGACAGGTACAAAACTTCTGGAGGCTTCCATCAGTGTGACTTGATTTCTGCTATGGGTTTGCCATCCTTGGTTTGATCAGAAGGTTTTCTCTTTCCTTACTTAGAAATGCCTTTCTTTCCCTGCAGGCAGCACCAGTGATATTATGACAAGTGACCACAGCCCTGTTTTTGCCACATTTGAGGCAGGAGTCACCTCCCAGTTTGTTTCCAAAAATGGTAAGTGGTGGGCAGTGTCCATCCCTTCATATTCCACAAAGGCAGAGGCCTTGGACACTCATCTTCTAGTAGCAAGAGTCAATTGTCTGCATTAGATGAAGGCCCCTTCTTCCAGCAAATCCACAGTCTGTTTATCTGGTTTCTTCATGTCCAAGCCACATCATGATTTCAGTCCAAAGCATTTTCTTACTCTCTGTGGCAAATACATCAGCCTTTTAAGTCTTTGGTCTAATAGAGTCTTTAAAATTAAGTAAATGAGTATTTTTTAAGATGTGGCCACGTCTACTACCATCAAAAATCCTAGATGGGTCCTTGATACCATTTATTAGTAATACATTTATCTTAATATGTTTTAAGTTTATTTCTTCTGTGTAATTCAATAAGCACTGATTTTCCACTTAGGCTTGTGATAGATGTTCTTAATTATGTTTATTAAAATTTAAAAAGTGAGTCTAAAGAAAATTTAAGTTTATATTAGTGCAGCTTCATGGCAGGCAGAGATAATAAAAATGTGAAGATGGGATGCAATGACTGGCTAAATAATACTCAGATTTACAAGTAAGTTTTCAAAAAACCAGCTCAGCCCTGGTCACTAGGCCATCCTTATCCTAACAGTGGCTGGTGTTCTCTCTGGCATGTCCAGCTCTGGGCCTATGGGCCATGTTATCACATTCTCTGCCATCCCCCACTTCTGTGGGCAGCAGACAGTCCAGACTCATTTATGAAGATTGAGCATGGGGCTCAACACAGGTTGAAAAAGCCTGATCACTGTGTCCTTTGTGCAGTGATGGATGTAGTAGATGAGGCTGTAACAGTCTTCCTGGGATGTTTTTCCATGCTGTTGGGTCTAACATTCCTGGTTCCAGTGATGTGGCCTCCCCACTCCATGCAGTCATGAGCCACCATCCTATCTCCTTCCTAGCTCTGGCCATTGTGGCTTTCTAGAACCTTCCACCTCTTTCCCACCTCCCATTCATCTCCCCTTTCTCTGAGTTCAGACAAAAAAAAAAAAGTACTGCATGGAATCACTTATGTGTGGAAACTTTTTTTTAAAGCAGATTTCATATATCATGGAAACAGAACAGGATGGTGGTTGAGGCGGGGGAGGGGGGTGTTGAGGGAAATGGGGAGATGTAGGTCAAAGGGTACAAACTTCCAATTATAAGATAAAGAAGTTCTGGGGCTCTATTCAGCCTGGTGACTATAGGTAATAATACAGTATGACAGTATTATATACTTGAAATTTACTGAGTGATCTTGAGTGTTCTCACCACACCAGAAACCCCCACAAAACAGGTGGTAATGGATGTGTTCATTCTTTTGATCTTGGCAATCACTTCACAATGTCTATGTGTATAAAATCATCATGTCATACATATTAAATATGCACAATTATGTTTGTCAGTAACTCTTCAATAAAGCTGGAGAAAAGAAAAAAAAATAGAAAAGGAAGGATGTGAAAGACAGAGGAAGGAAATGTCTCAGGTGACTCAGAATTTATATGGAACAACAGAACATATGTTCCAAACCAGCCTAAGAATGCTTGCAAATACGTTTTCTAGATGAATAGCGTTGAGAGCAAGTTCTCAGCATGAGTGAGTGAGGTCACAGTGCCTGAGGAAGGAAGAGCAGGGATCCCTCACAACCTGAACTTAGAAATGAGATGGATTTGAGTATTCAGCTGCTGAGCCTTCAGACAAGTTCTCTTTGCCAGAACTAATAGGGAGACTGAGGCAGTGAACTTCAGGGCATTGCCCGAGGCCATATAGCTCTAGCAAAGCTGAGAGCAGCTCTGATCCTAGAGTTCTTGTCTGTTCTCACTCTGTCCCCACCAGTTTATGATTCATCACAGAGGCTGATACCGCCATGGGAACACCCAGTGTGGGTGGTGGGACTTGAAGGAAAACCTCTCTTCCCCCTGGACTCTCATCTTCTTGGACCCCAAGAAAGAACGTGTTGGGGAGTTGGGGCTGATTTGAAATGCTCCATCTCCAGACACACTGTGGAACCCAATCTCTATTCTCACCTGTTCCAGGCCCCGGGACTGTCGACAGCCAAGGGCAGATCGAGTTTCTCAGATGCTTTGCCACCCTGAAGACCAAGTCCCAGACCAAATTCTACCTGGAGTTCCACTCGAGCTGTTTAGAGAGTAAGGGGTTATTGGGCTTCCTTTGCAGCAGGCACAACTCTGTGACATAATGATGCTTTGCCCCATTTCTCACTTCTGGGATGAACTCAAGGAGGGTCCGAGAAGCAGGGTTGCAGATGGAAGATGCAAGGGGACCCCTATTATGGAGCCTGTGAATGGATTTCAATTCCCATAGTGGATCGTGGAAGAGATCTAGAGGTCACCTTGGCTTTACAAAGCTGACCACTGCTGCTCCAGGGACAGGGCAGTCACTAATGCACTGATCCCTCAGCCTTGTAGGCAACTGGGCAGCTGGATTCTTTCCTTGCCCCTTAGAGCAAAGTATAGCTCACCTGAGGGTTCCCCCCAATCCAGGTTCTGAGTCAACTAGAGGGTCTAAAAGTACTGGAGGCCAGAATCAGGCCCTGAGCTGCCCATACTCTGTCCTACACCATGGCACTTTCCTAGGTGACCTGCAGCATCCAAGAACAAGCTGGACTTCCTCTGCCAGCAGTTAGCACAAAATACTCTTTCCATTTGGCACTTCTGGGCATGTCATCTAAAGCTGCTCTGTGTGAGAAGACCCGTGTGGTGTCTAGCTCTCCTCATTGAAATGGTCTGGGTAGTGGTGGTGGTAGCAGGAGTAGAATCAACTCCATCAGAGGAGGTGACAGGATGATGGAAGCGTCCAGAAATCAGAAAGAAAGCCTGAGCCCCCAGCTGCAGGCTGGCCCACCCCTGACTCACCTGGGACCAGTCCTCATAAAAGGCCCACCTTCTCCACAAACTCTCCAGGTCCCAGTTCACCAAGCAGGGCCAAAACTCTTCCAAAAATTATAAGGATTTTCATGTGGGTGTTTTTAATAAACTATCAAGACATTTGCTTGCATTTCTATGGAAACAGCATATTCTAGGAAGCTTAAATTAGCTTCTCAAAAGGCTGCTATCTTGAGTGGCGTGGGAGAGCTGTCATGTTTCCTAACCTCCTTGTCTGAGAAGTGATGATTTCTAGTTGCCTGGTTTGTTGCAAAGAGGAGCCAAAACGGAGGGAATTCTGATTTTCCTAAAAATAACTAGAGCCCATTGGCAAATGACCATCCCCTACACCAAAACAGAATCCCTAACAAGCCCAACTCCTAATCGATGCTGTGACCCCTATAGAGAGAGGCAGACGGTTTCTTCATTGATCCAGGGGGCCAGCCATGGGCATCTGTTCTGTCTGGTTCTTATTTTGTCCTCTGAGAACCAGCCATCTTGTCCTCCAACAGGTTTTGTCAAGAGTCAGGAAGGAGAAAATGAAGAAGGAAGCGAAGGGGAGTTGGTGGTGAGGTTTGGTGAGACCCTTCCAAAGGTAATTCAAGAAGAGCACATTCCCAAGGAGGATTTTGCAATTACCCAGCCAGCAGGGCTGGGAAGTGGCAGAGCTCTGGGGGACATGACCAGAGGTAGTGGACATCCCAGGGGCCAAATGCGGGAGTGGCCCCACAGACCTACCTCTGGGCCAGCTTTCTTTTAAGGTAGCTGATCGCTCAGTTTCAGCGATGGTTAAACATGAGCCTTTGTCTAGTGGCCTCAATATTTCTAAATGGATTTCAATTCCCATAACCGATTGTGGGAGAGATCTAGAGGTCAACTTTGGCTTTACAAAGAAGGAAACTGAAGCAGATCCCAGAGAGGTTTGTTCATGTCACATGATTTCAGCAACAGACCCCTGAGGCCTTAACTCCCTTGCAATAGTCCTACAGCCTGGTCAGCCACAGCTCGGAGGGTTAAGTGAAGGTGTAAAGAGGAGTCCACTGGCTCCTACACGAACACTGAATGCAGAGAGAACTTGTTATGACCATGACCCATGTGAGCAGAGGGTCATAATTAAAAACATGCAGGCAAAACTTAATGGGAGTACACTGATGTTTAATGCTGACAAAAATGGTTTTCTACCTAAAACCCAGGACTGTTTTTATGATGTGGAATTTATGGTGGACACATCCAGACGTTCATGCTGGGTGCACAGTGGAGAAGGACCTGCTTCCTTGTCCCATAACCAGGGAGGGGCACATAAAGGGAAGGTATAAGTCTGGGGAAATCACATGGGTGGGGGTCTCAGGCTTCCCCTGGAAGGTTCTTCTCAGAGGTGCCAACCTAGATGAGGTTTGAAAGATGGCTTGTAACAGGTAGAGGGAGCCATCCTCTCCCAAGACTCAGGTTTCGGGGCTGGGCTGCCACTGACATTACTGTTGATTGGAACCAACTCTTGGGCCACCCACTCAAAAGGTCTCAGGAGCAGAGGCCGATGCCCGAATCGCAGTCTCCTAATTCAGGTACACTCTGATCGGGGAGTGAGGCGGAAGTGAACTGTCCGGGTCCTGGGCTGTTTTCGGGCACTGAGTCCTAGTGGCTCTTGGCTCCACGGTGACATCCTGCCTTATCCACCCTCCACACCCTGCTGCGTCTTCTCCCAGCTGCTCCCATGCAGCACCCAAACGGCTTCTTTCCGCCTTTGTTTGTCAGGAAGGATATCAGCAACCCAGTCCCTGCAGCACTTTGTCCACTTCCAAGACCTGATGCTCCTCCTATCTCTGTCCCCTCCTCTCCACCCACCACCACCTCACCAAAATCTCTGTCCCTCCTTTCTTCTTGCTAAAGCATCCTGATTCCTAATGCATCTTTCTGGAATGCCCGCCTCAGCCTGGCATACCCTGCTTTATCCTGTCCATTCTCTGCTGTTGCATGGGATGAGCCCAAGCTTCTCGGCATGGCTCCCAGCCCCTCCGCCATCTCCAGCCCCATCTGCTCCCCTAGCACTCCCTCCCACTCCCTGAACCCTGCCACCCATTCTCTTACCTTCTCCTCTCTCTCTTTATCCCCTAAAACCCCTTCAGGACATCCTGACACTCTCTCCTGCCCCCTCTCCACTCTCATCCCCACCATGGTGAGTGTGTACCCACAGACATTCCTCAGACATCAGCCACATTGCTCCCCCCGCTGCTGAGAGGGCAGGGCCTTCCTGTATCTGCTGCACCTGGCCCAGCTCAAACTTCTAGCCGGCCATCATGACATGTCAGTGAACGGAGTGGTTGGTGTGGCTCTGGAACCCCAGAATGCTTAGAGCCCTACTGCGATGTCCTATCATTTATCCTGGAACTTTCTGTCAGTCAACATGGCACTAGGCCTGCACCAGAGGTCTCTGTGTATCTGTGGGTGGGAAGGAAAGGGACAGCCTGGAACAAGGTAGTCGGGGACTGGGGACCTGTGCCTGTCATCCTCCTACTCGCTGCAGGACACCCCAGACTCACCGGGGACTCTGCATGGGTGGACACAGAGGCCCCTCCTGTCCAGATGGGTGCAGCCTTATGGTACCACCTTCCCTGCAGCCTCCATCCTAGAAAGGGCCGAGGGAGAATTGCTCCCTGTTGGGGAGCCTGGGGTGGGGGTGGTGCCTACAGACTTGGTTTCTGATCCTGTCCTATTTCCTCATCAGCCTGGCCCCACTCCCAGGATCCTGGGGACTGCAAAGGAAGGAAGGGAGACAGAAGGTGGGGCATTCTTGGGGTCAGGCCCTGTCCCTGGGGCCCGGAGTGCAATGTGATGGAAGGGGACAGGAAAGGAAGCCAATCCCACCTGGCTGTGTAGGGGCTCCTTCCTGCTCTCTGGGCATGAAAAGCAAAGATTCAAATTTGTTTAATGACAACATCTATAGGCCTGTTTTCTCCAGCATCCCCTCCTCTGGGTGGGCGCCCTCCCCTGCCTATCCCCAACTCGTCCCCTCTAATCCCATGCACTTCTCTTTGCAGCTGAAGCCCATTATCTCCGACCCCGAGTACCTGCTGGACCAGCACATCCTGATTAGCATTAAATCCTCCGACAGTGACGAATCCTATGGTAAGGGTCCCACGGGTGCCATAGGTGCCACACCTGCTGTTGGCTGGTGGCCTCTGGTGTAGTAGGCATCTCCAACACAGAAAGCCCATCTGTCTTTCCCCATCCTACTCTCCTATTGATCCTTTCTCCATCTCAGGGCTGTAGACTGTCAATAACTCCTAAGTCATCTTTCTTGCCCCTTCAGGCTTCTGGGAGTAATGACTAGCAGCTACAGCCCCTCCCACTTACTAAGACTTTCCTGTGTCAGATTCTGTGCCCAGGGTTTTGCAGGAATTTTAAATTTTAATTCTGGCAAGATCTTAGGAAGCAGACAGTATTCTCCCAATTAGTCAAGGAGAAAACTGAGGCTCAGAGAGGTTAAGTGACTTGCCCACATCACACAGGTCGGAACTGGCTGAGCCTTTATTGAAACCCGGGTCTGCCCAGCATTGCTCAGTGCTCAGGCTGGTGGCTCCCCCAGCTATCCTACTGGAGAGGCACTGTCTTCTGTAACGTCTCCAGCCTGTCCATGGCTCCCGCCCAATGTCACGTTCACCCTTACACTAGGTACATTCAGGGTGGCTCTAGCAAGGAGTAAGAGAGGCAAGTAGCCAGAGAGAGGCTGAAGGCAGGAGCTATATCAAGCCAGGCTAGCAGCAAACACTTTATCCTGGCAGTAGTAGGAAGCCATCAGAGAGTCAGACAACTCAGTAATGTGACCAGCTTTCCATCTTACAAGTACGTGTTTGCAGTGATCAAGATGAGAGACGAGCCCTGGCCGATGTGACTCAGCAGTTAGAGTGTTGGCCCACACACCAAAGGTTCATGGGTCCGATTCCTGGTCAAGGGCACATACCTAAGTTACAGATTCGATCCCTGGCCTAGTTGGGAAACATGCAGGAGGCAACCAATCAATGTCTCTCTCACATCAATGCTTTCCACTGTCTCTGAAAAACAATGGGAAAAATATCCTCCATTGAGGAATAACAACATCAAAAACGCAAAAAGAGAGATGAAGGGCCAGAGTGAAAACAGTTACAGTAAAAGTGGAGAGACAGGATAAATTTGAGAGGTGTGTAGAAGGGAAATGGTTGCCCAGCTGGCATGGCTCAATTGTTGAGCATTAACCTATGAAACAGGAGGTCACGGTTCAATTTCTGCGTGGGCTATGGGCTCCATCCCCAGAGTGGGGCATACAGGAGGTAGCTGATCAATGATTCTCTCTCATCGTTGATGTTTCTATCTCTCTCCCACTCTCCCTTCCTCTCTGAAATCAGTAAAAATTAAAAAAAAAAATTAAAAAAAAAAAAAGAAGAAGAAGAAGAAGAAAGAAAGAAGGGAAATGGGTTGGCCTTGGGAACTGAAGCAAGTGGGTTGTTGCGGATGGCCCCACACTTCTGGTTTGAGTAGCTGGTTTAATGTCTTGTTTCCTGATCTGGGTCAGCTGCGATGAGGAACAGGCTCCGGAGGTTGAGAAGGCACAGCCAGAGAAGTGATAGGACAGGCTGTGGTGTTGGGGATACTGTCAGAGTTGGTTTGCGAAGAAGACAAAGTTATGATAGCAGATGTGCCGAGAGACCCAACGAAATAAAAACCAAGCCACAGTCCTTAGACAGAGTGACTCGGGGCCATACCCATACTTGGAGAAGCAGTTAGGGCGAGAATGGCGGTGAGGAAGCAAAGGGTGTGAGGCAGGCCAGAATGTGAACCTGGTCCAGGCAGGGGGGTTTGTTTCCAGTGGAGGAATTTGAAGGTGCTCTGTGCTCTTGGTGAAAGTCAGGAAACAGAAACAGGCAGAGACACGAAGGGTGCCCGTGGGTGTTGGTCGGCCACTATGCAGGCTTTGCCACAGCCCTGGGACTGAGGTACAGTCACTGTCCTTGTTTGCCAGAGGTGAGGACATAAAGTGACTTGTTTAAGGTCATGTAGCTGACTTTGACAAGCTACTCTGTGACCTTGGACTTGAACCTAGGCAGTCCAGCTCCAGAATCATTCCTTTTCTCCTTCCCAGTGCAGCACTAGAAAGAGGGTCCCTGAGCCAAAGCAGGGGCAGGCAGAGCCTGGGGAGGAAGAAGGGGGTTGGCTCCGGATCTTAATCTCCTGTCCTTCTTAATGGTACAAAGAGAAAAATGCAGTGGCAGGAAACAGGAACTGATGGTTCCATTTCCTTAATCAAATACTGTATTCTTCCTTTGTTTCCTCTTTTTTATATTTATAAACAGCAAATCATGATAGTAACAAAGGGAAAAAAATCCACCAGCAGTCTCATTCCCCTCTACAGAAATCCTTTTTATTTTGGTTTCCATCCTCATCCATAGGCATAGGTCCTAGATTTCTAGATTTCTAATCATCACAGAGACACCATTTATTTTCTGCTTTCCTCACCTTGTATTAGATAAGACCCAGTTTCCATAACCTTCCAACATGATCTTTGTGATTGTGGCTTTTCGTGGCTTCATAGTATTCCATGGATTTGCTGTAGCCTCATTTTTCACAGTCGTTTTTATTCCTGTTATTGAGGCTCTGCCAGTTGCTTTTGTTAGAGTTACCAATAATGCTGAGATGGATCTCTTTGGGGACATTTTTTGTTCTCCTGAAGCTACATTTTTTTATTCTTTTAAATCATCTTTTTAGGATGAGTTTCATATTTGCTGGTCAAAGGGTATACTTATGCCTATGGCTCTTGGCCCTTGTTAACAAATTGATTTCCAGAAATGCTGTCTTGCCATGTGGACCTTGCCGTGTCCCAAGGTCCAGCTTTCCCTGAGCCTCGCTGGCCCTGGGTATTTTTCTTCCTTCTGTTTTGTGCTAAGTTCATGTCTGTGAGAGAATCTCTTTGTGCTGTTTCGTTTGCATTTGTGATTGTTTTTGAGGCTGAATGAATTTCCATCTATTGAAATTAACCAGCTACAGTTCTCTTTTGTGTGAAATGACTGTTTGGGTGATCTGCCTATTTATCTGCTGGGGATTTAATTTTGAGGAGTTCCTCGTGAGTTCAGATAAAATCCCTCCTTTGTGAACTGACTGCAGTGAATGGTCCCAGTCAATCATCTCATTTTTGTGAGTGTTTTTTTTTCCTCTGTGTAAAAGTTTTAAACTTTTATATTCTCTTACCTGTCAGTCTTATTTTGTCATTTTTGACAGAGCTTTAAGCCTTAGAAAGTTGTCATTCCCTCCAGCCAGCAGATTAATAGTTAATTCTGTTTTTCTGGATTATCTATTATTTAACTTTTTTTCACAGTAACTAATCTACATGGAGTTCATTTGCTATAAATTTTGAGATGTTTTTCCAGATTACTGAGACGTTCTAAAATGTTTATTCGATGATCCCTGTCTTAGCCATCATCTGAAGTACTGTCTTTGGTGGCAGAACTAACTCTCCAGGCCAAATTCACGGTGTTTCTCCTGCGAAATAACAGGGTCTTGACATTACTGTTGCCCCCTCCATGTCCCCAGGTGAGGGCTGCATTGCTCTGCGGTTAGAGGCCACCGAAACACAGCTCCCCATCTACACGCCTCTCACCCACCATGGAGAGATGACAGGTCACTTCCGGGGGGAGATCAAGCTGCAAACCTCCCAGGGCAAGATGAGAGAGAAGCTATACGGTAAGTGGGCATGACTCCCTTCTTCTCCCCCAGCCCCGCACCTCCAGCCCTCATCAGCGCTGCAGGATTAGACAGGAGTGAGGGTTCTCTCAGCAAAACTGTTGAATATTCTCTCTGAGAGCCAGGCATCATCCTTGTTTGATAGATGGGGAAACTGAGGCACGGAGAGGTTAGATAATTGACTGAAGGTCATATACCAAGAAAGCAGCCAGCCCAAGGTGAAGTGCATGTTCACCCAGTGCTAAGCTGAGATTGTAAACATGATGGGTGGACAGTGGGACAGCAGGGCTCACTACATGTGGACCCTCTGCTCCTCAGAGGCCACTGGGCTACCAGGAGTGCTGCCTCCCATGGACGTGGCCCTCAGAATCTTGCTTAGCCTACCTCCCCAGGCAGCAGTATGCACCATCCAGTTCTGGCATGTCCATGGAAACCTCTGCCATTCTGACCCACACCTGCATGCTGGGCCCTCACCTGCTTCTTCCTGCCTCTTCCCTTGCAGACTTTGTGAAGACGGAGCGGGATGAGTCCAGCGGGCCCAAGTGTCTGAAGAGCCTCACCAGCCACGACCCCATGAAGCAGTGGGAACCTGCTTCCAGGTAGGGCAGGGAGGTTGCCAGGGCTTCACAGACTAGCCAGCCTACCAGTCCCAGGACCAGGGAGGGTACGTGGAGTGCAGAGAAACTGAGAACCAGGAGGAAAGAAAGCTCAGCTGGGAGAGACGCTGTCCTGACCACAAACCCATGTCTCTGGGAGCTAGTGTGACTGGACCAGGCCTGGAGACTCTTCTGTGTTGGGAACTTTAGCTCCATTCAACAAACATGGGTTGAACACCTACTATGTGACAGGTTCTAGAGAAACCAAGGCAGATTAGGTGCTAGCCCTGACTTAGGGACTCATAGCCCCACCCAGGAGAAAGCACCTGTGAAGGTGTCTGCATGGAATGGTTGCCGTGTCTCCCAGGGACAACAGTCTTGGTTGGCTTCATGGCCACAAAGCCCATCTTGTTCCTAGGGGAGAGTTCACTGGGGGAAATGAACACAGGCTGCTCTTGGCAGAGACTGGGCTGGCAATAACCCGGAATTTAGAAGAATCCCCAATAGCAGTCACCCCAGCTCTGACGTGGTCTCAAGTCCCAGAAAAAAGCCCATGAAGGCCAAAACTGGTTTGGCTCAATGGATAGAGCATCGGCCTGCGGACTCAAAGGTCCCAGGTTTGATTCCTGCCAAGGGCATGTACCTTGGTTGCGGGCACATCCCCAGTAGGGGTGTGCAAGAGGCAGCTGATCAATGATTCTCTCTCATCGATGTTTCTAACTCTCTATCCCTCTCTCTTCCTCTCTGTAAAAAAATCAATAAAATATATATTTTTTTAAAAAGAAGAAAAAGAAGCCCGTGAAGGCTGTCATAGTCTCATACCTGCTGAAGGAGCAAAGCTGTGCCATTGGCTGAGCAAAAATCCAAAAGTCTCTGCAGAGCCCCCGTGCGCTCTGCCCCTGCTGGTCCCCACATTGCCTGTCCTTCCAGCCAGCCTCACACACCTCACTCACCCACTGGAAACACGGGAGCTCACATCTCCAGCCTGTTTCCTCGTCTACACCCAATCTCGGAGGAGTGTAGCCATGGATGCTAAAGTATTCCCTCTCCTTCTTTTTCTCCCACTATTGCCCACCAATGAAAGCATCAAGGCTCTCACATGTCTGCTCTGCTCCAGAGTCAGGGTCAGTGTCGGTCTACAAATTATTTTCCCTTCGACTAGTATTAGAATTAATATTTGTTAAGCAGGCACTAACGGCTGAGAGTGAGCTGTGCACAGAACCAGGCTGGCTAAGCAGAAGGGAGCTGGGAGGCTTTGTTATAACCTGAATACTCAGAACTCTGCCTGTTTCATCTCATGACAGCCCTGTTTTACAAGGACAGCACTTCTGTCACCAAGAGGCAGCACAGTGTTGGTGTCCCAGGTCCCCTCACCTGGGTCTGGGCCATTCCCTTGGCAGCTTTCAGCTGACTTCCCATGTTTAAGGCTTTAGCCTTGACCTTTGTCCCTTCATCTTCAAATGCCCACCTGGCCACTTCCATTCTCACGCCTCACATGCAAACGTGCAAGCTGACGTGTCTCTTGGAGGTGGAGCTCTCCATTTCCCCCACCCCAGCCTGTCCTCCCCCCACGGTCACTCAGCCCCACCAGCCTCAACAGCTTCTCATTCTGTTCTCTCCACTTGCTCATAGGCCCTCTGAGGGTTCCTGGAACAGTTAAGTACCTCTCATCTCAGGGCCATTGCAATTATTCTTACCATTGTCTCCCCCACTTCCTTCTTACCTGCCTCCTCAGATAGGCCTTCCCTGGCTACCCTATGTCCAGTGGGACCCAGTGCTCCTGCAGTCTATCACTGCCCTTTTGTGGCTCTCATTCAGACTTCAGCACTGTACAAATCCCATGCATCTCAGTTCCTGAGTTTTGTTTGTCTCCCCAACCAGATCTGAGATCCATGAGAACAGAGACTATTACGCACAGCCATATTGCCTCTGCCCGGCCCAGGGCCTGGTGCAAAGTAGGTATTCAGAAACTATTGTTGTATGAATAAATGATGAATGAATGAACAAATGAAAGAACACATCCACTGCCCAAAAAGTGAAGGAGTTGAGGAGACCCTGAGGGGTCCTGAGCAACAGCAGAAGGCACCATCCTCAGGCTGGGACTGACTTGTGACTTTGTATGTCTCCCCCACAGGGTCCCTCTCTGCAGTGGCTCCAGCATCACAGAAATCATCAACCCCAATTACATGGGGGTGGGGTCCTTTGGGTACATAAAACAGACCCTGTCCCCTGACCAGCAGCCCTCAGCCTGGAGCTATGACCAGCCACTGAAGGACTCCTCCCTGGGATCTGGAAGGGGAGAGGCCCCTCCAACACCACCCTCCCAACCGCCCATATCACCCAAGAAATTTTCATCCTCCACGGCAACCCGGAGCTCCTGCCCCAGGACACAAGAGTCAAGGTGAGTGTTCTCTTCACCAAGACCTCTCCCTTCCCCGAGTTTTCACTGCTGGGAAACCCAGCCCTAGGACAGAAGCTGCAGGAGGGCAGGGGCGTAGGTCCACTTTAGTCTCTGACTCATCCGTGGGACCTGGAACCCGGTAGACATTCAAGAAATACTTGTGGAATCTCCAAGTCCTACCCTATTAGTGTAAACTTAGTTTTTTTTAAATAGAAAACTTTAAAGATATGGTCAGGAAAAATACCTCCTATAAAAACTACATTTATTGAGAAATACATTTCTTTCTTTCTTTTTTTAATATATTTTATTGATTTTTCACAGAGAGGAAGAGAGAGGGATAGAGAGTTAGAAACATCGATGAGAGAGAATCATCGATCAGCTGCCTCTTGCACACCCCCTACTGGGGATGTGCCCACAACCAAGGTACATGCCCCTGACCGGAATCGAATCCGGGACCTTTCAATCCGCAGGCCGACGCTCTATCCACTGAGCCAAACCAGTCCCGGCTCTTTTTTATTTTTATTTTTTTATTTTATTGATTTTTTTTGCCCCCCTCCCTCCCTCCCATATGAGAAATACATTTCTATAACCAGTGAACCCTTTAGCAATCTCTCACTCCCTCAAGGCCTTCTGGGGCACGGAGGTGGGAATTTCCATGGAGAAGTCCCTCTCCAACACCAAGTTCCCTTCTCTCTTCTTAACCATGAGGTGCCTGTCCCCAGGTGCAGCTTTCCTGTCTCTCCTGTTAAGGAAAGTCAGAAAAAGCAACAGCTGAGCCTGGGAATGCCAAAGGGAGAGAGCAGTAGCCTATGGAGAGGCAGAGGGGGTCCTTTGGCAGTGAAATTTCAGCAAAACTTCAGCAAAGGCCAGGAGGTTAGAGAAAGATGACTCAGACAACATGTGTCAGGAGGAGGGAGCCAGGGGCAAGCCCAGGCCAGGTAGTCAAAGCCACAGCCATCTCTCATACGTGCCACCGTAACCAAGAAAACCATTCATAAGCATCTCATGAAGCATAACATAGGGAGCTGGGCAAGTTTCTAGTAACCATGGATGACAGATGGAAATGAAAAGTGCAGAGCCCAATTAACCATGATCGAAGATGCGCAGATTATCATGAGCATCGTCTTTCCTTGGTGACTGTCTTTACTGTTTATAGTGACTTCAGGGGGCTGCTCTCTTTTGTGAGCTCTTACGTTCCTCAGTGATGTTTTCTGTCACTTCCTAGTAGCCAGGAAAGGGAGTGCTGTCAAACAGTATTCTCCCTCATCTCACTACTCCCCACCTTTTTGAGGGGCAGTTTACAGTTTTATTCTTTAAGCTTTTTATCTAAAAAAGAAAAAAAAATGGATAAATAAATGGAAGGAAGGAAGGAATAGAGGATATGGCAGGTGGGACAGGAGAAGACAGCACAGGATAAGTGTGTGGGAAATGTGTTCCCTCCAGTTTCATGGGTCACAGCTTCAGAATGGGAACATCTGTAAGCAAGGGGCCCCCAGGGTGTCATTCTAAGCTCACTGCTCACCAAGGAGGTGATTAGAGGCAAGAATCCATCAGCTCCCACCCCTACCTGCATCCCTCTTAACTGTTCTCAATCCCTGGCTCAGCCTGAGCAAAGACTGTGGAAAAGGGAGTGTCACTAGCATTCTCCTTATCACTTCACCATATCATCCCACATAAGTAGCCATCCCAGTTTGCCCAAACCTGTCCCTTTTTTGCACTAAGAATCCCACATCTTGGGAGCCCCTTGAATCCTGGGCAAACCTGAACAGCTGAACACCCACTGAAGTCATGTGGTTAGAAAGATGGCTCTTCTCAGCTCCTGCTCAGTGTTTCACCGCTTTAGAAAAGAATCAACTCCAGAATCGATTTGTGAAGTAGAGTCCTTTTGCCACAGAAATTAACTCTGTGCCATGGATATTGGTTGGTTTGCTTACTCTACAACCATGGTCTACTATGGGAATTGGTTTCCTATCACCTTTGGTCATGGAAATAAGACTTTTACATTTTTGTTGTGATTTTCCCAGTCTCCCCTGCCCCGACCAAGCTTTCCCCTCTGCAAGAATGAGAGCAGCCCCCTCTCAGAGGCGGAAGTTGAGTTGCACGGTCTCTGCTCTTGTCGTTGGGGAGTGAGCTCTGGAATTTAAAAAAGGCTCTCACCCAGGGTCCTGCCCCTAATTCTTGGAGGCAAGTCCCTCCTCCTGCTCGGCCACGTGGCTGTAAGGTGTCAGATCTGGAATTTTTCTTTTCTCCTTCTTGCCTTTTTATTAGAAGATGATGGTCAGTGCCGCTTGTATCCTCCCACACCTTCCTTCCTGGGGCTAAGTCATAGCAAAGGTCTTCGAGGTTCCAGACTGGGTCAGAGGGTGGCCTGTGGTGAAGAGGCAGCTTTCCAAAGACTTCCTTCAAGGATACAGCATTCCTAGTTATACAATTGCTTCCAGGACTTTCCCAAGAGGAATGAGCCAAAAACTGAGTCGACAGTCAAGCCTCCATTGGCATGTCCCCTAGGCTAGCCTTTCCAACACCCCCTGTCATCTTGTCTCATTGGCACCTGGGCAAGGATGACCTTTCACCCTGCCCCCTGAGCCCACACCTTACTCCCCAAAGTGTCTGTTCACTGTGGCTTCTGAGCAGTGTTTCAGCCCATCCCATCAGTGAGAAGTGCCAAGTTCCCAGGGACCCACATTTTCTTCATGACAGCCTCCTTTTTGCAGAAAGTAGATCCCAGAAGACTCTCCCAGGAGATTATGCAGTTGACCAGAAAGTAACATGTGGTCCCATTCCTGGTTCTCATAATTTGCTCTGCAGGAAATCGCCTTACGTAAGAGCCATAAGAAGCCAGGAAACCCACAGAAGCAGCGCTTACCTGGTTTGGACTATGATAGGCGCTCCTTCTCTGGCCACAAGTCAGCAGGCCAGCAGCAAGTAGTTTGCTTGCTGCTGGCCTCTTTCCCCATATCTCTATATCCCTCTGATTTCCAGCATGTTTTTCTCTCCATCCTACATGAGTCCATGAAAGAAACTGGTCACCAGGAGTTCTACAGGGAGAGGGCTGTGCCTTAGGAAGAGAACTATGCTAGTCGGGAACATCGGTCCCTGCGCCCAGATTTTGTCCTGTTCACAGCTGACTCCTGAGCCTGGGGCACATAGTGGCTCATACATGTCTGTTCAATGGCATTCCCTGACCTGGACTCTTAGGTAGCACAGATGGTGACTGAGGGTATCTGGTCACCTGCAAAGTTTTCATTCCTGTGAAGGTCAGAGCAGAATTTGCTAGAGACAGCAGAGAAGCTGAGGGATCCGTGAGGGGAGCCAGGAAGATGGGTCTGTTAGCAATAGTGAGAGGCAGGCTGTGAAAGGCAAGCCTCTCTGATGAGGACTGAGGGGCCGGTTTTGATATTGGCAGTGCCATGTAAGCCCTCTCTTCCCTTCCTACAAATCCTTCAGCAAACTCCCCTTGCTCACCAAGGCTCTGGCGGCAACTGAGATTATCTATGTGAGCATCAATACATAACTAGCTAACACAGTTCCTTTTCCTTTCATTTTTAATATTTTTAATTTATTTCAGAGAGTAAGGGAGGAGAGAGGAATGGAAACAGCAATGATGATAGAGAATCATCGATTGGCTGCCTCCTGCATTCCCCTCACTGGGCATCGAGCCTGCAACCCAGGCATGTGTCCTGATAGGGAATCAAACCATGACTTCCTGGTTCATAGGTCGATGCTCAACCACTGAACCACACCGGCCAGTTTCCTTCCATTTTTAATTTTGTTTTTAGTTGAGGTGAAACTCACATAACATAAATTACCCGTTTGAAAGCGAACAATTCAGTGGCATTCAGTATTTCACAATGCTGTGCCACCATCGCCTCCACCTGGTTCTGAACATTTTGATCACTCCTAAAAAAAAAACCCATAGGCATCAAGCAGTCATTCCTCATGTGTTTTCCCCATTGTCCTCCTTCTCATGTTCCAGGTCCAGTGACGTGGGGAAGAACACAGTGGAGCCTTTGCCTCAGGAGGACCCCAAGCTGACCAAGCCTGAGATGTTTGAGAACCCACTCTATGGATCTGTGAGTTCTTTCTCCAAGCTGGTTCCCAGGAAAGAGCAGGAATCTCCCAAAATGCTGAAGAAGGAGCTCCCGCCCTGCCCAGACCCAGGAATCTTGTCTCCTAGCATCCTGCTCTCCAAAGCCCCAGAGGCCGAGGGCAGCAAGGGGCCAGGCAAGCCGGTGGCTACACCTGCACCCACACCCATCATCACTCCCACGCCTCGGCTCCGCTCTTTCACTTGCTCATCTTCTGCCGAGGGCCGGCAGGCCACAGGGGACAAGAGCCAGGGGAAGCCCAAGGCCCCTACCAGCTCCCCAGTCCCAGTGCCAGCCAAGAGGCCCATCAAGCCTTCCAGGTCAGAGTTGAGCCAGCAGGCCCCGCCAACTCCGGCCCAGCGCCCTCCCCTCCCACTCAAGAGCCCAGCGGTCCTACACCTGCAGCACTCCAAGGACCGAGACTACCGTGAGAATGCCGAGCTCCCCCGCCACAGCAAGCACCGGCCCGACGACACACCGCTCAGCAGGACTGCCATGCAGGTGCCTGGGGTTCATGTGTGTGTGTGTGTGTACAACACAATTGCCATGCTAAGGAGTGCATGCACATGGGCTCACGTGCATGCATGGGCACATATGTGGCACAACCACCATGTCCAGGAGTGTGCTTGTTTGCACAAGCGAGTGGGTGTGCGTGAACACATGATACAACTACCGTGCCTATGTGAAGTGTGCATGTGATCTCATGTGCATGTACCTGCATGTGTATGATATAACCTGCCATGTCCAGGAGTGTGCTCAGGTGCACATGAGCTGGCAGGTGTGCATGGGAGTATGAATGTGCATGATCTGACCATCCAGCCTAGGAGTGGGTTCTAATAAACAGTGGCTCTGGGAGTTGTTCTGTGAGGAAGGGGTGGAGATGGGATTTGAACCCAGGCCATCTGTGCCAGGCTCAGTGGATAGAGCATTGGCCTGTGGACTGAAAAGTCCCAGGTTTGATTCCGGTCAAGGGCACATGCCCAGGTTGTGGGCTCGATCCCCAGTGGGGTGGTGTGCAGGAGGCAGCCAATCAATGATTCTCTCATCATTGATGTTTCTATCTCCCTCTTCTTCTCCCTTCCTCTCTGATTAAAAAAATAATAATAATTAAAAATAAAAAAACAAAAACGAAGAGCCCAGATCATGTACATTTTATTCTTATCATCACTAGTATTAGTACTTAAAAATTTCCCAATATTGCTGACACTGCAGATGCAATGTCCCCTTCCTTTTCATAAAATAGATTTCTTTTTTAGCAGAACTAATAATGCATAGAACTGATTGTGGGACAAGAGTGTCTTAAGTTTGAAACCCTGTTCCCCAGCTTCCTGGCTCTGTGCCTTGAGCCTCAGTTTTGACTCATCTGTAAAAAGGGGCTATTATGGCTAGCTAACACAGTTCCTTTTCCTTTCATTTTTAATGTTTTTAATTTATTTCAGAGAGAGGAAAGGGGAAAGAGAGAGGTGGAGATTGGCTGCCTCCTGCATGCCCCTCACTGGGCATCGAGCCAGCAACCCAAGCATGTGCCCGATAGGGAATCAAACCATGACTTTCTGGTTCATAGGTTGATGCTCAACCACTGAACCACACCGGCCAGATTTCTGTAGTTATAATGCCTTATAATGCCTCATAGGCTTATAAGGAAACTTAAATTTTATTTTATATCATTACTGTATATTATCATGTATATCTAAATTATGTATTTACATGCTATTTAGTCCTATAACATATGCAAAGAACTATATATATTTAAGGTACTTGGGCCTTTACTAAGTATTGGCTCTTTTTAGTACTCTGTTAAAGGAATCCTGGCCTAGCCCACAGTGTGCGGGGACATGGGGACTTGGCTTAAATCTGGCCTGGCGAGAATGCAGCGCTGACAGTCTTCTGTCCTTGGTCCACAGTGAAGGCCCCGGTGAGCTGCGGTGAGACGTGAGCCCAGTGGAGCAGCACAAAGCCACTCGGACCCTCTCCTGCAACGTCCTGTTGGCCTCTCCTACCCAGCTTCCTGTGCAGGGCTTCATACTTTTCAGGAGAGGCCAGATTCTGTGGTCGGCAGAGTGTGTTGGCTTCGAAACTGGGCCCCAAGTGCTGAGGTTGGAAGAAAAAGCACACCCGAAGGACAGCAAACAACTCGGGCACCTGGGTCCCCAGCTTGATCTTGGTACTTGGGACCCAAGAGCCTTGTTCCGGTTATCATTTTGAAGAAAGGAACTAAAACGCTGATTTCCAGGTGGAAACGTAAATAATAATAATGTCAATAATAATAATGGCTGCATGTACTACGTGCCAGGTACCTGCTAAGTGATTTATAAACATTATGAGTTGAGTCTTCTTCAGCCCACCAAAACCACATTCCCAGACCCCCCAGTTCAAAACAGTAAGTTCTGAGTGGTTTGGACTAAAGCATTAAAAATTAAGGCAAGTGCCCTCCTGGAGTGAGATGGCTCGACCTTCTGGGAGCTGGAGAGTCAGTATTAATTTAGGGTACAAGAAACCTGACCTGGACACAAAGTGCATTAGCTAAAGCCCCCAGGAATTCAGGCAGAGCTGGTGCTGAGATCAGGGGTCCCTCTGGGTCCTCTCAGTTCTTTATTCTGAAGAAGGACAATCAGTTCTTCCCCTTCCTGGGAAGTTCAGCTTCGGCCTGGGCTAGAGATGCCCAGGCCTGAGCCAGGTCCCCCATGCCCTCCCTGATGTGGGCAGCCACCAACACTCCCCACCTGGCTGCCTGGAGGGTGGGCCTCTCAAAACCGTGCAGCCTTTTCTTTGAACTCTCATGGCTTTTGGCCCTGCTCCCGTGGTTACTAGCATAGATTGGTGACATCTTTCCTTGTTTTGCTTTTTCACATAACAGAAATAATGCAAGAAACCAAATCTAGAAGTGTGTGTGAGTGCCTGAGACTGGATATGCACCCACATCCTCTTGTGTGCAGTCTGTGTGACCAATAAATTGTGCCTCTTTCACTCAGCTCTCATCTGTGTGACCTTTTTTCCTGACATTCAGCCACAAACGTTTCTAGACTGTTGGGGGTGTAGAGCAGCAGCGAGGGGAAGGGAGAGGAGGATGTTGAGGTTAACAGTGGTGATGGGCAATCTGGTTAGAACCAGTTTGAAGTTGGGCCTGGACCAGGAACAACAGTAGATGTCACACATCGCAGAATTCCAGGCAGCCGCAGCCGCCCAACTTCCACCAGAGTCATCTCCACAACCACCACCTGCTGCTCTGCACTCACAAGCTCCTCCAGGTTTTGTAAGTGTCAGTTGCTAAGCTCCAGAGACAATAGACACTCCCCAGGTCGTGGGCCTTCACCTCCCTGCATTTGGGGACAGCTTGCACTGCCCATGGGTCAGGGAGTGGCCCCAGTGCAGAGTCAGAATGGGTGCTGCTTGGCCCCACCTCCAGGGTACTTTGGCCTGGGCTGCTGTTCCCACCACCTCTGGCTACTCAGCCTCTGCTCTGTTTCAGACCTTATGGGAGTGGTGTTCTTGGAAGCAACAGAGCAAACCGTTCACTGGCCTTTAGCAATGGCCTGTGGAGGCTGCCAGCGTGCACTGGCATGCTGGGAGTGAGAACAAAGAGCTTGAGCTCTCACCTTCACTGAGAATGAACATCCAGGCCCTCACCACCATCTTTGAAGGTTCCCAGGAGAAGCAAGTTGAGCAGCAGCGTGGGGTGCACCTTGGACTCCTTTTGCTTTGCGTTCTGGTGACCTGAACAAGCCCAGAGCCCCTTATGCCTCTCGCCAAAGCTCCAACACAGATGTAACTGTGCAGGAACCTTATTTTCTTTATCCTTTATTTTGATTTTCTTTTGCCTTTGAGTCTAACTAGCTTTACCAAGCACCCTGACTCACCCACCTCCCTCTTGGTCATTAAGCCCTCAGGACAGCTGGTTCTGGTCAGCATCCAGTGGTTTTAGGAACAAGGTCCTGGATCTGTTGACTGGAGAGACAGAGTTTTCAATCAAACTGAAGACAATATCTCGGCCTCAGTTGTGTTTTAGCTCTTGGCCCAGGAAAGTGGAACAATCTCACAGAACAAATCCTTGTGAAGCTGGACAGACCAACCCCAAGGCTGAAATCAGGACAGAAGCTATGATCCAATGCCCCCTACCCTAGTGCCAACCAATCAGTAGAGACCAAGACCCTAACTTCTTTCGTCACCATGATTAATGATTTTTTTTTCCTATGTAATCCATGCCATCTTTGAGTATGAGCTACCTGCGACTCTGGGCATGGTGCCATTTCCTTAATAACTCCTTACTTTCTTGGCTGTAGACTCCTGTTCACACCTTACTGCGCTTTGATGCATGCAGGCAAACGGAGCCTTTCTGTTGGGTAACACAGGCTGTGTGAGCACCAACCAGGCTATGTCTCAAGCTGGTGAATAGCAGGGCCCGCTGCACTGACTGGAACTGAAACACCGTGAAATTAAAAACTTTCACCCTTGAGTGCCTTTAACCGCTCAATCCTCGAGATCCCTGACCACCTATGTCCCTGAGTTCTGGTTGTCACTATCTATTGGGGGCCGCTATAGCCAGATTTCTCTGCCATTTCTGCTTTGCTCCCAATCCTATGCCTCCCAAACATTCCTACAGCAGAATGAGAGGGGACCCCATAAACTCCTACCACTTCATCACTTAAGTAATTTATGGACAGTCCCTGACTGAGGGTGGTTCTGTGGTTCAACTTGTGATTTTTTGACTTTACAAAGGTGTGGAAATGATACACATTCAATAGAAACTGGAGTTCGAATTCTGAATTTTGACCTTTTCCCAGGCCAGTGATATTTCTCTCGTGATGTGGCTGCTAGCCACAGCTCCCAGCCAGGCAGCCCATCTCCAGGGTAAGCAGTCAATATTGTGTTGCTAGTGGTTTTTAGATATAGTTTTCTGAGCTCCTTTAAGGTAAGCTGGTTGAAGCTATGATGTTTAGTAGGTGAGGGGTGTTAAAATGAATTTTCAAATTATGGTATTTTCCATTTGCAAAGGGTTTATGGGGTTGCAACCCCATCGTAGGTGGAGGAGCATCTGTATTTTATGCCAGCTTTTCTTCACAAGCTCCCAAACCAAGCAGGCAGGTTCATGAGCAAGCTTCCTCACCAGAGTGCCCCACCCCCAGATGAATTCTGCAGTCTTTTGAGATTGCGGGGGCTGCTGCAGTCACTTTAAAAAAAAAAAAAAAGAAGCAAATTTTCCTCCTTTGCATGATTATATGCATGCTGGTTGAAATCAGATTTTGTGCCAACAGAAAGATGTTGTTATATAGTGGTTGTTCTCTAATAGCCCCTGCATGGGCACCGGGCACCCTGCTCGGCCTGGAGACCAGCAGCTGCACCATTTCCTAGGGACTGACAACCTTTGGACTCCTCCTCCTTCCTGGGTTTTGGTTCTTTTCTATCCTCCTAAGAGGGAAATTAGTCTTCAGAAAAGCTCTCTCCCACAGCTATCTCCCCTAACTCCAGCCTATAGGTTCTCTCTTCGCCTATCCTTAAAATAACTGCCTTCTTTCTACGCAAGCTAATTTCCATGGAGATCCAGCTATCTGGAGGCCCAGAAGCTTTCTGCAAGGCAGTTTCCAGCCTTCGCTCGAACAGAGAGACCCTTAGTAATTCAAATGCCTGATCTCACCCACACAGACCTCCTCCATCCCCCAACACACACACACACACACACACACACACACACACACGCACACACACTCACTCCAAGGTCTCTTTCTGGGAAACCTGCATTTTGTCAGAACAACACTGGCAGGTAAAGTCCAGGACAGTTGAAGAACTTTTATCCTGGTCCTTTTAATCACTCAACCCCTCCTCAAGATCCCTGACTACCTTTGTCCCTGAGTACTGGTTGTCATCATCTACTGGGTGCTCCCTCCAACACACACACATTATTTTTTTTAAATATATTTTATTGATATTTTACAGAGAGGAAGAGAGAGAGATAGAGAGCCAGAAACATTGATGAGAGAGAAATATCGATCAGCTGCCCCCACACATCCCTCACCGGAGAAGTGCATACAACCAAGGCACATGCCCCTGACCAGAAGTGAACATGGAACCCTCCAGTCCACAGGCCGATGCTCTATCCACTGAGCAAAACCAGTTTTGGCTAGACACACATTATTATATGATCAGATTTTCGTGCCTGTTATTTTCTGTTTGAGTAGTTAATCTTCACTGGTCAGTTCTCTCTCAGGTCACAGTCTGTTATGTGGATTCCTGAGCTCTGAGGAATGGGATTTATCTTGTTTTTCATTTCCTAAAAGTATGATCTCATACTGGGCACTTAGGTCTTCTGAGTCTCAGTTTCCTCATCTCTAAAATGGGGAGAAGAGTGCCTAGTGCATGGTGCAGTTGTGTGAATTCCTGAGCTCTGGGGAAACTCGGCCTGCCTTTTTAGACACTCGTTGACGCTCATTAACTGTAGCCCCTCCCTCTTCCTGAAGACAAGACTGGGAGGAAAAAAGTTCAGGCAGCCATGAGGGAGGCAGCTGAGCAGGCACTGTAGGAATGTCCTGGCAGAGGGAGGTAAAGGTGAGAGGTAGGTGTAGGCGAGAGCATGAAACAAGCCAGGCAAGAAATCAAGGGGCGGGTTGATACTGGAAAAGCCTTGAAGACAAGGGGCAATGAGAGGCTTATCGAGGCCAAGAAGGAGTTAATTGAGGCCAGGTGGACTAGTTGAAGCCAAGAAAAATAAGCTACTTGAGGCCAGAGGAACTAGTTTAGGTCAGGGAGACTAGTTAAGGCCAGGGGACTAGTTTAGGCTTGAGTAGGGGATAGCTGAGGTGGGGCAGGGGTGAGGGGCTAGTTGGAAAGCTACACATATCAGAGCTGCTCAGATTGCCTGAGCCAAAGGGAGTGCACCTCAGGGACACATAGGAAGTCCTTGTGCAGGTGCCCA